TGCTTCGGGCATTCGGCCCTCGCCAGTAAAGTTTAGCCCTGCTTTTCATGGCTTCGGGCCTTCGGCCCTCGCCGGCAAAGTTTAGCCTTGCCTTTTCATTGCTTCGGGCCTTCGGCCCTCGCCTACGGCGGGCCTTCGGCCCGCCAACTCCTCGGCCTTCGGCCTCGGAGGATTTATGCTCTTCCTTTGACTATTGCTCTGCCTTTTAGATGTAATGAAAGCTCGGGCCTTCGGCCTCGGAGGATTTATGCTCTTCCTTTGACCATTGCTCTGCCTTTTAGATGTAATGAAAGCTCGGGCCTTCGGCCCTCGCCTACGGCGGGCCTTCGGCCCGCCAACTCCTCGGCCTTCGGCCTCGGAGGATTTATGCTCTTCCTTTGACTATTGCTATGCCTTTTAGATGTAATGAAAGCTCGGGCCTTCGGCCCTCGCCTACGGCGGGCCTTCGGCCCGCCAACTCCTCGGCCTTCGGCCTCGGAGGATTATGTCTGCCTTTGACAATTGCTCTGCCTTTTAGATGCATTGCTGCTTCGGATCCATAACAGGATCCAGCTTATCCTCCTACTAAATTTTCCCCCATATACAAAATTCACCTTTAAACTCTTCTACGTGTTGCCCCGCATGGTCAGAGACGGAGAAAAATTTCGCCTCTCTGCCATCAACTTCACCTTCAATCATTTTTCCTCTCTCCCTACCATAATTTTCCGAGTACGGTACTCACACCCACAAATTTTTGAACCTCTGTACTTTCTTCAAAATGTACCGAAAAAGTTCGAAAAAAATATTTTTATATCCAGCTCGATGAGAGCTTTCGAATGATATCTCATTTGCCATATTTATATCCATTTTGAAAAAAATATTTTTTGGGCCTGAAATTTCAGCGAGAAAAAATCCCCGAAATTTTCAAAAAATCATATCTCGCCCAAAGTATACCTTTTTGAAAATTTTAAAATCCCAAAATATGTAGAAAAATCTGCTTAATACAGGAAAAATACCTTCGGCCCGAACCGCCTGCAAAAATCCCGAAAAATTTCGAAAAACCGAAAAATTTTGGGTTTTTCGAAATTCGACCCCTACACCTGCAATTTTGAATTTTTTAAAAATTTTTTGGGCTCAAAAAATTTCTAATTTTTTACTTAATTTAATAAAGGAAACCCCATCCCAATCTGACAATCCCAAAAAAAGATATTTCAAATTTAAAAATCCCTAAAATCCCCCCAAAGGGGATTTTAGGGACCCCTTTAGAAAAATTCGAGGGACCAAAATTTTTGGATTTTGACCCATAAAACGTCCCATATGGTACTCTGACATGCGCTGAGTCCAAATCCGGTGTCAGAAAAATTTTAAAAAATTCCCCCGGGACGTTAGAGTCAAAAAAAGTTTCGCGACATTTGCGAACATTGGCCATAACTTTTTGAGACTCAACCGGACCCCCGACATATTATACCTTTTTCGGACCGTCAGGTGACGCTCTATAACATAGGATATCGAAAACGGGTTTCAATTCACTTTTGAGAATTGGAGCCACCCTTCCCAATTTTACATGGGGGCACTTTGAAACTTTGGGCTACTGTAACTTGGTCAAAAGTATTCCGAAAAATTTAAACTAAATTTTTCCAGACTCAGCTCGTCGAGAGCTTTCATTTGACATATCATACGTGATTTGTCGATAAGTTTCGTAAATTTCGAAATTTGCGAAACTGGGATTTTGGGATTTTTGCGCAGGCATATCTACCCTTCAAGTTGGGATTTAGACTTCGGGTTTTTTCCTACATATATCAGCTTATTCCAACTTGCGTGCCTCCCGTTGGAAGTTTTTTGATATCTCCCCCCAGTCCCGAGATACCCCCGGTACCTATTCAATATAGGTACCAGGGGGTAATTATTTCTTAACTTTCGTATTTTTCCCAAATGCCCCATCAAATAGAACCCTTAAATGCAAAAGTTTCAGACCCCTAACTCAATTCGTTAAAGGGTTAGAATTTTTCAGCCTGGGGGCATTATCATTTGGGAAGGCATAAGTACCCTTCAGGTCCGAATTTCGAATTCGAGTTTTTTGCATTCGAACTCTACTAATAGCCGTACATCATCCTCCCAGCAGACATTTTTCGCTATAACCCCCCATTGAAAAGATAGCCCCGGCGCTTAAGCGATTTAGGTACCAGGGGGTAATTATTTTGACTTCTCGATAATTTTCCTGGATGCCCCGTCCCAAACTACCCCCCGAATGTCAAACTCCCAAAACCGTGCCGGCCTTCGGCCGGCCGTTATTTTTTTTCTTAGAAAAAACACTCCCTGAATTATAGGTATATAGTAATTAATATTTTTGGTGCAGTGCTTGTAATGATTTGAATTTTTCTGTAAATTTAAATATTTCCTTTTAATTTTTAAAAATATAACCTTTTTGTCTTTTTTAACTACAAATATTTAATTTTTTCCAAAAACAATTTTAATTAAAAATTTTAACCTTTTCTCCATAAAAGTTCTAAATAATACATATTATTTCCCCAAAATAATTTCTCTTCCAAATATTCTAAAAAATTAACTTTTAATTTATAAACATTTTTTTCATCTTTTTTTTTTTAATTTCGTGACATTTTTTTTCCAAAATTAAATTAAATTTAAAAAGAAACAAAAAATGCAAATAAATTTCTAAAAATAAAGTTTTCGTCATATTTTGAATATTTTAAAAAATAAAATTCTAAAAATATTTTGTGCGTAATAAATAAAAAAAATAAAAAAATTAAATTTCCTGGATTAACCCCCACCCAAAAGTCTCTTTTTAACGTAAAAGAAAGTCTTAACAAATAAACAATTTTTTTGTTAAGTCACAAAACTTTTTTTTGTTTATAAAATTTTATTTAAAGAAAATTTTCTTTTAAAAAAAGATACTTTTCTTTATTTAAAGTAGGGTTGTTGGCAACCAGTTTTAAAACGGTTTTTAGAAAATTTTAAAAACCGAAAACCGAAAATTTGTGAAAATGAGTGATTTTATTAAAAATTCCCCCAAAATAAAACCGATATTTGCCTAAATCTCAAAACCGAAAACCAGATTTCTAAAATTTAGAGTAACGAAAAAACAGGGCCCGTACTATAAGAACGAGTCGTAGATTTGGTACTATAAGAATCTGGTCATTTGCCCAGGTCATTTAACCCATACAGAGAGCCAATTTGGTACTATAAGAGGCTTGGTATTTTTTCTTCTTGCTTACCACGAACCAAGTTCTTATAGTACCGACTAAAACTGAGAAATTATTTGGCTGTATTTTAACTTGAAATACCAAATACAAAATATAAGATGATTATCTTACTACATAAAAAAGTAAAAACTTAATGAATTTTTATGGTCTCTCTTTGATTGAATTCTGAAATTCTTGACGATTTGAAGAAAACTACTCTAGAAGGTTGAGTCAAAAATTTTCAGAAAGATAGAGACTTAAATTTTATATCATAAGATAAAGGAGATAATTCTCTATATAAAAAATGAGAGAAATTTAAAAATTTCTCAATTTTCCTTAAAGTTATGGAATTTTTAAATGAGCCTACCACACTTAAAACGCTAAAATTGGCTAAAAAAGGGTACCTCGCGATTTTCCCTATAACTCTAGAAATAATTATCCAAAAAATCTGAAATTTTTATAGTTGGTTGAACACACTCTAAAGAATATAAATTTAAAATTTTGTAATTTTACTATTTTTTCGAACCGAGTTATAGACTTCGGAATTTAAGCTAACCCTGCTATAGAGCAGGGTCTGAGATTTACCACTCGGTAGGGGTTAAATGACCAAAAAGTGCTTTTCATATAGTACTGGTTAACCAAAGGGCAAATGACCTGGTTAAATGACCAGGTCATTTGACCAAAAACCAGAGGTTTTTCTTATAGTAGCAAAGGTACCTCCGGTAACCGGTTAAATGACCACAAACCACGTTCTTATAGTACGGGCCCAGGGGGTACCGGTTAATAACCGGTCGCCATCAACCCTAATTTAAAAATTTTCTTTTAAATTTTAAATAAAAAATATTCACAAAATATTTTTTGCAGACTTTGTTTTCATTTTTATTATTAAAAAATTATTATTTTTAATTTTAATTTACTTAATGTACATATTTTTTGTTAATTAAAAAGAATAATACTTTTACATTTTCTTTTAAATTATTAACAACTTGTGTAAAACCTTTTTCCCACAAATTTTAAGAAAAAAAAAGATTTTCTCTTTTTTTTTAATAAAATAAATTATTTTAATGGAAATACTTAAGGTCAAAAAGAAGTTTTTGTCTTTCCAACTTTTTTTAGATTTTAATATTTTAAATTAAATTATAGTCTACTTATCCACAAAATTTCTTTTAATATTTTTTAAGGAAAATATTTTTTAAAAAAATTAAATAAAAATGAGGCTTTCTTTGGCATTTCTCCTATTTTCCCTAATTTTACTAATCAACACAATTAATTCAAAACCACATCCAAACGGCCTTCCAATGGTACGGCGAGATGGAAATGGGGGTGATTTGGATGATTTATTGACTGAATTTAGAGCAAAAGGGAGTAGAATGAGGTAAAAAAAAGAAATTAATTTTTAAAAGAATTATTTTTTTAAATTTTAGATTTGGAAAACGTTCCTTTCCTCCCTCCTCTCCTCGTTTTTCGTCATCCAGTGCTGACGTTGATTTTATTGAGGCACCAATATATTACATTCCTGACCGTTTTATGTGGTTTCAATAAAAGAAAATATTAACAAAAACAAAATATTTAATTTTTATTTTTTAAATTTTCATTTTATTTAAAAATGTGAGGAAGAAATTTGGAGAGAGAGAGAAAATTAAAATTTGTAAAAAAAATTCTTTTTTTTTTTATTTTATAATTATATATATAATGTAATTAAACAGAAAAAGTCCTCAAAATATTTTTTAAAAATTTATTTAAAATTATTTTATATAAAAAATTTTTATTTTCAAAATAAAATTTAACAACAAAAAAAACAAAAAATATTTTTTCCTTAATTTATTTTTTCCCTTTATTTTTTATTTTCTTTCTTCTCCTACCCAAACTTTCTGTTGAATTAAAGGCTTGTTTAAATAATTTTTCTTTTTGTCTATCTTCCAAACTCATTTGCAAAAATTTTAATGCGGCAATGTTGAAACCAATTTGATTCTAAAAAATTATTTAAAAAAATATTTCTTTTAAAAAATCTCCTTACAGCAGAAAATTCAATAATTGTTGGGACAACTGTCTTCAATTCATCAATAATTGGAAGTAATTCAATTGAATGAATAATTTGATTGTGATGTATTCTTTTTTAAAAATAAATTAAATTTCTATTTAAATTTCAAAAACCTTAATAAATAAAAAATAATTCTTTCCATCAATTCTGTTTTGTAAAACTGTTTAATACATTTACACAATTCTGTTAGTAATTCAGGTACATAAGAGAAGGGTAATGACAATAAACATTTTTCAAGTGAACTTAAAATTTAATTAATAATTAAATTATAAAATACCTTCTTTGTATTTTCTCTAAAGTATCGCCAATAAATAAATGAAAAGAACCATTTGGATATGCTCTCAACAAAATATGAGGAATGTGCTAAATTTGAATCATTTCCATATTTATAATCAATTAAAATACCTCATTATCATTTTCGTGTTCAATTCTCTCTCTACGGACAATTTCAATTGCTTCCATTATACTTTCAGTCTAAAAAAAATAAATTTAAAAGAAAATGCAAAATCACCGATTTAATTGTTTCCATACTTTTTAGTGTAGCCAAACCACTTTCTGAATTTTTTGTTTCACCGGGGACCTAAAAAAACAAGACAATTATTAATTTATTTTAAAGAAAAATAAACAATGTCCTCCTCTTCTGTCATTTTCTTCTCATAATCTTCTTCTCTCTTCCTTTCCTCTTCTTCCTGTAAGACAATTAATTCATCTGTCAACTCCCAAACACGTACAGATTTATCTCTTGAAGCAGAAATCTTTCAAAAAGATTTTAATTACTTTAAATAAAAATAATTTACCAATATTTTACTATCAAAATTTTGGGCAATTGCATCAATTTGATCAGTATGGGCATTTAAAGTTTGAATATGATTAAAAGCTACCGCATCCCATTGCTTTTAAATTATTTACTTTGAATTTTTTAAATAAAAAAACCTTCAATTTTCCATCACTTCCAGCAGACCAAAATAATTTTTCATCATCAGCCATATTAATACAAAATTGAACACAAGTCACGCTAAAAACAGAAAATAATGAGAATTACCCAAAACACATACTTTCCATCATGGGCAAACAAAGAACGATGACAATCTCCAAAATCAAGTCCCCATATTCGTAAAGATTTATCTCCAGAACCAGTAATTATTAATTTGCTGTCCTAAAATAAAAAAATTTAAACTAGTAAGAGAACATTTAAATAATAATTAAATCTTTAAAAAATTACATGTGAAATATCAATACAATAAATGGGTAATGAATGTCCATATAACGATACAAAATATTTAAGGCTATCCATAAAGAAAACTCTTGAAGTATTGTCTAAAAGTCCAAATGCAATAAATTTGCCGTTCGGGGAAATTGCAGCACATAAAGGTTCATCTTGAAGTTCTAGTACACGCTTTGATCGAATTGATAAATAATCACTGAAAATTAAAAGAAAACAATAGAAAAGGTAAAATTCAAAATAATATTGGTGTTACCGTTCAGAAGAATCTTTTACTCTTTCAAAACACCAAAATCTTGCTTTCTTATCCTGACCAAAAGAAACAAATCCATCCTAAAATTAAAAAAAAATTTTAAAATTAATTCAAATAAACTTTATTTGGAAATGCACAAAGTCCAGTAATAGAATCATGAACAGAATCACTCTTTTCAATTAATTCACAAGTTTTTAAATTAAATAAGAACAATGATCCAGTCTAAAAAAATTAAAAAATTTTTTTTTATTAATTTTCTTACTCTAGTTCCCAAAATTAATTGTGTATCATTAGCAAAAAGCAGAGCAGCAGAAATCTGTTGAAGACCATCAGCTACCAATTTATTTAAAGATACTAATTCTTGTAAATCCCAAACTATTGCAGATTCATTTGAGCCAGTTACAATTATATCAGATTTTGAAGAAATTGCAAGAGCACGAATATCCGTTCTATGAACACGCTGAAAAAGAAATTTAAATAATTATTTTTTATAAAAACAAACCTGTCCCAAACTAGTTAGAAGAAAAGACTCGGTAGCACTGTTTTTCCAATCAACACGAATAGAAACACCCAAAACATTATTAGATTTAAGTAGACAATAAAACTTTAAAAAATATTTTTTTTTAAATAAAATTATTCTTAGTTACTCTATATTCTCTTGTTCGTCCATTAGGCAAAACAGTAAAAGAATCACACATATCAACCCATTTAACTTTTGAATCGGCTCTGTAATCCCCTATTCTAGCAATAATTGTTGTAATATCTTTGCGCACTTCACTTTCTAATTTTAACATTTGTGAAGATAAATCGTCTTTATTTTCTCTATTAAATTAAAATTTAATCTAATTATTTATTTGAAAACATACTCATTTTCTTGAATTTCCAATCGTTGGCGGAGTTTTCTTAATTTTCTTCTAAATCGTTTATTACTTTCCTCTTCCGTAAAATTTCTTAAAATATTTTAAAATAATTAAACAAACAAAAAAACCTGTAAATATCGACCAAAGAATCAGCACCTACACAACATAAAATAGCCTCATCACTAGAAACACTCAATTGAAGTGCGCGGCCTTTGGCCTGTCGTAAGAGTGAACCGCGTTTTTTGCACTGTAAAACTTTCTGAAATAAATAAAATTTTTTGAAATAAACACTTGACTTAAAACCAAATATTTCTGGCAAAAACGTAGAAACCATTTTTTACACATATAAATACTTACAATTAAAATAAAAAATGTACTTACATTTGCTTGATCCTCTTTTATTAATTCATTATCATTTTCAGAACATATTCTCTTTACATTCAAATCATCTAATATTTCCTCGTCATCATTCTCTTCTTTAATTTCTTTACTCCATTTAAGTTCAAATACAAGTAATTCAATTTCAGAATTTGCAACAACCAATAAATTCTCCTTATTTAAAAGAGCAAATGAATATATTTCTGATTGACTTTCAGCAAGTAAATAAAAACAACAGTAGTTTAAAATACTCCAAAAGCGAATTTGAGTATCTTTAGAGCTGAAAAAAAATTTTTTTAATTAAATTTTAATTAAAAATTTTTTTATAAAACCTCGAAACAAGATATAATCCATTCTGTACAAAACGCAGGTGAGTTATTGTTCCTTTGTGGCCAAATAAACTGCAAATACCAGATTCATTCAATACATCCCAAAGCGCAATAACCGAATCCTAGCAATTTTTAAGCATATTTAAAAATAACCTTTATCCAAACCTTTCCTCCACTAGCCAAGATAAAACCATCGTCACTAAAAGTCAAGCAATTTACTCCAGTTTTGTGTCCATTAAAAACAATCGGGGGACCTTAAAAATAAATTTAAAAAAAATACAAAACAAAAATTTATACTTTCATCCTCAATTCTATGTAAATGTATAGAACCATTATCATACCCAATAGCAATTTTCGATTTATCCTTCGTCAATGCAAAAGAGGTAACGATTCTTCCTTCAAAACGCATTTGTTTTGTCTTAAAATCGAAATTTATTTTTTCATGTAAAATCCTCAACAACCTTTGCCAATGTTCGCATATTGTAAAAAGAAACATTTTCAGCCGCAGAAACAGCACAAGTAACACTATCGACAAATTGAACCATTCCATTAGGAGATGCGAGTAAATTAAAAGAGCCCGATTGTTGAAATTTTAAGAAATCTTTAGTTAATCCCATAATTCCTTTGACTTGAAAATTAACGGTAAATAATTTTGAACAGGGAAAAAATAAAGAAATAATTGAACGGCAAGTTTCGCCAACTACTAATTCTAATTACAAGAAATTTACAAATTATTGAAATTTATTCATATAAGTATTATGTGAATATAAAAAAATAGTACAACTTGTGTAGTATTTAGCACGCAAATAGAATGTTCGCTAGCCATGGATTTTGGATTTCGGCCTGAAATAAACCTATAGCTAAAATGCGTGCGATAAATTAAGTACTAGTATAAAATAATGTTAGTTGTCTGCAAATATTAAATCAAAATGTTTAATTAAAGTGTAGCAAAATTTATTCAAATTGTTCAATTGAGACATTGGAACCTACAAAATATTTAAAAATAATTTTTAATAAAACAAAAATCTTTTACTTGTTGATCTGTTGGCCATGTCAAATTTGGTCCAAAAACAACACTTAAATTATTTGCATTCATCAAATTCTCTTCAAAATGCGCCTCAATTTGTTTTAAAAATTCTATTATGCGTTGAAGTAGTAAAAGGTTTTCGGGTGGCAATCGTTGAAGTAAATCACGTGTAGCATCAATATATGCAGGTTTTTCGATGGCAGCTAAAGTAATTTTAAAGTTTAGAAATAAAATATTACTAATTTTTATATTTATTAAAATATTATAGAAAATTGATGGGAATTTTGATTATGAGGACCTCGTCATAAATAAAAATAATTGTTATCAGTTTTTTTAAAAATAATTTTATAAAGAAAATATTCAAACCAGCAAGAAGAGTCAATTCGGGATATAATTTATTTGTAATCAGCGGCTCTCCAAGAGAGCGAAGAAAAGTTTTTAAAAGAACAGATGCCAATAAAATACTATTCTCCAAATCTCCATTAAATTCTGGATCTCTAAGAAAATCAATCTTTTCTCCTAAAAAATTAAAATTCGTCAAATATATCCTATTTTTAACATTTTTACCTAAATTAATTCTTTGTTGTAATGCTTTAAGTGTTGTAACATTAGCTGAACGACGGAAGATTCCTTTAGTTTGAAGTCCATGTTCAAGTAAAAAGTCCATCAAATCAGAAGCGATTGGAGGAATATCACAATTTGGATTATGGTCCATAATACTATTAAATTAATAATTCTGTCTAATTTTTTAAAGTGAAAATATTGGAGTAAACTTGCCCTAAAAATTTGGAGGCGGGTTAATTTAAACATTTTATAAGTAGCCCTAACATTCATAAGCATTTAGAAATGACTATAGGGTTTAATTTAAAAGCAGTTATTTTTAGATTTTGAATAAAAAAATAGATTTCTAAAATAAATTCTTGGAATAAAAATAACTAAAAATTGAAAAAAAACACTTACAATTTCAAAGACACATTAAATTGTTGTGTTGGTCTAGGTGGTTGTTTCTCTACATTATTCTCAAAACTAGAAATAACAGAAGATTTTGGAGATGACGAAGAAATTGAAAGATCAAAACTAAATTTGAAAAGAAAAATAAAAAGAATTCAAAAAAATACTCAATAATTGGCTGTGGGAGATTTAAATTTGTTGTAGAAACAAAATCAGTCAATTCATTTAAAGAATTTACATAATGTAATTTCTTTTCAAATTTAAATGAAATTATTGGTTGAAATATACGCCAAACGATACGAATAAATTTTGTTGGGTGAACCAAATAGAGAGCTTTGAGATTTTTCTTGTATCTAAAAAATAATTTTGAGTAAAAATTTTTTTGTTTAAACCTCCGATCCAAAAGTTGATAAACATTAAATAACCATTTATATGGTGGCTTATTATTAGAACGTAAACCATAATGAAAATAAATAACTGTATAGTCCTGGTCGACAATTTTGTCTAAAGTAAACTGAACAAATCTGAAAAGAGAAAACAAAAATTTCAAAAGAAAACATCAAAAAACCTTAAAAACTTCAAATGATCAAATGTTTTATTTGACGGGAGTCTATATGCATAAAATACAACAACCGGTCTAAAATTAATTATTTAAAAACATTTTTAATTTTAACAAAAACCTAGCAGAAAAATCGCCATCACCAAAAACATCAATAATTTCATTACTCGCCATGTCGGTAAAATTTTCTCCAAAAGGATCCTCATTAACTCCACTTGGACCCAATTCATTTTCAAAATTATCTCGCTCAAGAAAAGATTTTTGTTGGGCAAATAATTGCTGTCTGAATTCTGTTGCAACAGCTAAAAAATATTAAAATATATCGTTCCCCGAGGCATAAATTTAAAAATGAGAATTTTGTATAAATTCCATAATCCAATATTTCTTTATCTCTTGCAATTTTTCTCATACACTAACAGAATCTCATTTAAAACAAAAATTTAACTTTAGCCCCAAACAGTAATCCAGTAATAAAGTCTTTCGAACTACTTTTAAAAAAAAGTTTAACTGTTTATATCAGCGTCTGAAGTTACCAAATCATCATCAGCAAAACAATCGTCAACAATGAAATCACTACCAGTAGTTGTTGAATTCTGCATAGTATGCTAATAATTTTTTAAATTTATTAAATTTTTCGTCAAAGAAAAACATATAGTTAAGAGCTAAACTAGGTAAAAACTAGAATATATAAGCATTAAAAAATAAAAATTTATTGAGTATACATTTAAATTATTGAGATTAAAAGGTAAATGCCCAGCAGGCTGATAACCAATCATTTGATAACTTGAGGGAAATTAAGGGAAAAAGGTAAAAAAAAATGCCATTTGCGGATGCCTTTGCAAAAATAAATGCGAGCTGGACATTTTCCAAAATTAATTTATTGGCAGTCTGGGAAATTAAATTAATTAATTGTAATAATTTAAAATGCACTTCAAATATCAAGAAATATTTTTTTTGATTGAAAATTTTCATCAGTAGAATTTGCTTCATTTTTTTGATTGAAAAGAAAAGTTTGTTCACGCATTAAACATTCAATTTTATGTGGCTTGTCATAATTAGTGAATATTCCATGATTACTTATGTCAAAAAGACAAGCTTCAGAAGCCTAAAATTATTTATTTATTAAGAAAAGGCCCATAAAGTGCTTTTAAACATCAATTTTAGTTTGAGAAAAATAAATAATTTTTAGGTTAAAGCCTTACCCGTTTATATTCAGAAACTTCCCGCTTTAATTTAATATACAAATCATGATATGTTTGCAATTCTGCAACTTGCTTTGCTCTTTTTCCAGCCAAATCATTCAGATGTGAAATTTTTTCGTCCCTTTCAACTAAAGAAACTTCCAATTGCCTTTTAGCCTCCTCCTCCTTTTCTAGGCTTTGATTAAGGAACAAAATGTGCTCATCACGCTCATACTCCTAAAATTAAAAATTTTTGATAAATCCAGAATATGCAAATACCTTCAACTCAGCATTCTCCAATTTGAATTTACGATCTTGTTCCAGTGATGAATAAGCTTCAGAGAGCTTAGCCTGCAAAGCTGAAAATTCATTACTCCATTTCTTCTCGGAAGCAAGAAGTAACTTTAAAATAATAAAAATATGTTCAAATTGTACATTAATTTTATTAGTGTTAAAATTAATTACGCGGATCTACTTACAAGCTCGAGCGTATTTATTCAATATTTGTAGAGGTTGTCAAAAATAGAAAACAACCTTTCGTGATTGTTCATGCATTTGTAATTCATCATTTCCCCTTCTCAAAGCTTTCTCGTATTCATTTTGTAAGTGTTTCAATTGATCAATCAACAAATCAACTTTTTGAAGAGCCTCATCCCGTTGGAATATAATTTCACCCAAAGTTGCTTCATTTTTAGCATTTCTGTTCTTCTCAGCTATTAAACTTTTCGAAAATTGAGCATTTTCAGAATCTAACTGCAATACTCTATCCTCTAGAAAGGCAACGCGTTCAGACTGTGGTAATAGACGTGAAATGCAACCTTGGAGACTGGAATAGAAATTAAATTTAAAAAACTTGATATATAAAAAACCATTCATTTTCTCCTTTAATCTCATTAAGTTCCTTGCTTTGCAAACTATATAAATCATCAAGTTGATCCTTTTCTCTTCCAAGTGAGATTGCAAATTCTTTTAACCGTTTTACCTCTTGTCTGAGAGCATAAATACGAGAAACATCCTCTCCACGTGGAGAACCAAGAACTTTGTTGACAGGAGATTCTTCAAAATTTAAAAGGCACGGGCGTCGTCGTTCACATGGAAGAGTTTTCCAAGATCGTGAAACGTTTACATCACTAACCGTTCGCAAAGGAGTGCTGAAACCAGTTGGATTTGTGTTCTCTTTGTCATTAAGTGAAGGCAAAAGTTCGTGAAAAGGAATGACAGAGAAATGTCCAAAGCTATCCAATTTTTCTATCTAAAATGTAAAAAAAGTTAATTAAAAATAGTAAAAATAACCATCCAAGCAATTTGTATGTTATCATTTTCATCAAGTCTCGAACAAAGCCCCAAAAACTTTTCATCATGTTTTATCCGAAGAACGTAAATTAAAGCCAACAAAAAACACTCTATTGCATGTTGATCACCTTTATCAGCCAAATCAGGCTCAAGACATTCAACAAAGCTATCGCCCATCTCATCTCTGATAAAGTCTACAGCGCTACGAAAATCAACATCATTAGCAATGAACCGAAGATCGCCAGAATTGCTTAAATGAAGAGTGTAAATAAAAATTAAAAAAAAATTAACTTGAATTTAATAAGAATTGGAATCAAAATTTTGGCGTCAGCAATCGATGTCAACTCTTCAATTTGTAGATCTTCAGTAATAATGTTAAGCTGAAAAAGATAAATACATTTAAAAAACTTTCAAAAAATTACGAGAGATAATAGAGCTTTTCTTCGTCCACTCTGCATTGAAGAATTCGTCAAAATTAAATCAATTAAGAAATCTGAAAATTTAAACTAGACAAAGGAAAAATTCAAATCCGAAGCAAAAATTGCTTTTCGCGAAAATTGGCGAATTAAATGAGAGTTGAGATTATGAGGTTACCAAATTGAAATTTATTAAAACGAAAAATTCTTCAGAAAATATTTTGAATTAAAATCTAACGGTAGGGGACCATTGAGTCCCGCCGTTTGAGTCCCGCCGATTGAGTCCCGCCGGTTGAGTCCCGCCTGTTGAGTCCCTGGCCGGTTGAGTCCCGGCCGATTGAGTCCCGCCGGTTGAGTCCCCACCCAAAAGGGGACGTTTGAGTCCCCGTATTTCTTTCTAGGATCTTGATGGATTAAGTGGGATATATGCAGTTTTGAATTGATATAAGAGTATTTGGGGAGATTTTGAGTGATAATGATAAATATGGAGGGATTTCAAGCGATTTGGAGTGATTAAAGTGGATATATAGACGGATTTTCAAGTCGGAATTATTGCGGGTATGGTACCACTTTGGGGTACATTATATATGAATACTAGCGGAGTTGGTCGGCCTTCAGCCGCCCCACCCCGCTAGCAAAAACAAAACAAACCAAAAAACAAACTCCAAATCAACTTATCACAACCTCAAAATTGGCCCTAATCCAATCATAATCAAAAACCCGATTATCATGACATTGACCAGCATTAAAACATTTCCTGATTACCAATACATTTAACAAAGCAAAGCATCTAATAGGTGCAGCTGATAGGGTACACACAGGCGTCGTGTGACTCCGCTAGCATAACAAAACAATTCAACTCAAGATCCGATTCAAAAGCCTTTGGCCGGCCTTCTCGCTTACACATTTTTTCTCCTCAATTCTCCCTGCTTCACAATTCCCTCTGTTTAAATATTCCCCTGCTTCGCAATTCCCCTTGCCTCACAATACCGCCTGCTTTACAATTCACCTTGCCTCTCACAATATCGACTACTTCGCAATTCCACCTGTTTCAATATTCCGCCTGCATCACAATTCATCTTGTTTCAAAATTCCGCCTCCTTACCAATTCCTCTTGCCTCTCACAATACCGCTTGCTTCACAATTCCCCTTGTTCAATATTCCGCCTGCATCACAATTCATCTTGTTTCAAAATTCCGCCTCCTTACCAATTCCTCTTGCCTCTCACAATACCGCTTGCTTCACAATTCCCCTTGTTCAATATTCCGCCTGTTTCAATATTCCGCCTGCTTCACAATTCCCCTTGTTTCACAATTCCCCTTGTTCAATATTCCGCCTGTTTCAATATTCCGCCTGCTTCACAATTCCCCTTATTCAATATTCCGCCTGTTTCAATATTCCGCCTGCTTCACAATTTCCCTTATTCAATATTCCGCCTGTTTCAATATTCCGCCTGCTTCACAATTCCCCTTATTCAATATTCCGCCCGCTTCACAATTCCCCTTATAAATATTCCGCCTGCTTCACAATTCCCCTTATTCAATATTCCGCCTGTTTCAATATTCCGCCTACTTCACAATTCCCCTTTTTCAATATTCCGCCTGTTTCAATATTCCGCCTGCTTCACAATTCCCCTTGTTTCAATATTCCCCCTGCTTCACAACTCCCCCTGTTTCATAATTCCCCTTGTTCACTATTCCGCCTGCTTCACAATTTCCCTTATTCAATATTCCGCCTGTTTCAATATTCCGCCTGCTTCACAATTCCCCTTATTCAATATTCCGCCCGCTTCACAATTCCCCTTATAAATATTCCGCCTGCTTCACAATTCCCCTTATTCAATATTCCGCCTGCTTCAATATTCCGCCTGCTTCACAATTCCCCTTGTTTCACAATTCCCCTTGTTCAATATTCCGCCTGTTTCAATATTCCGCCTGCTTCACAATTCCCCTTATTCAATATTCCGCCTGTTTCAATATTCCGCCTGCTTCACAATTTCCCTTATTCAATATTCCGCCCGTTTCAATATTCCGCCTGCTTCACAATTCCCCTTATTCAATATTCCGCCCGCTTCACAATTCCCCTTATAAATATTCCGCCTGCTTCACAATTCCCCTTATTCAATATTCCGCCTGTTTCAATATTCCGCCTGCTTCACAATTCCCCTTTTTCAATATTCCGCCTGTTTCAATATTCCGCCTGCTTCACAATTCCCTTTGTTTCACAATTCCCCTTGTTCAATATTCCGCCTGTTTCAATATTCAGCCTGCTTCACAATTCCCCTTATTCAATATTCCGCCTGTTTCAATATTCCGCCTGCTTCACAATTCCCCTTGTTTCGATATTCCGCCTGCTTCACAACTACCCCTGCTTCACAATTCCCCCTGTTCAATATTCTGCCTGCATAAACGTTGCGCCTAGCACTTGACACATTAACGTTGCCGCCTAGCACTTGACAAATGAACGTTGACGCCTATCTCTTAAAAATGAACGTTGACGCCTGGCACTTCAAGTGACGTTGACAGCTAGCACTTGACAAATGAACGTTGACGTCTAGCACTTGACACATGAACGTTGACGCCTGGCACTTGACAAATGAACGTTGACGCCTGGCACTTCAAGTGACGTTGACGTCTAGCTCTTGACACATGAACGTTGACGCTTGACAATTGACAAATGAACGTTGACGCCTGGCACTTGACACATGAACGTTGACGTCTAGCACTTGACACATGAACGCTGACGTCTAGCACTTGACACATGAACGTTGACGTCTAGCACTTGACAAATGAACGTTGACGCCTGGCACTTCAAGTGACGTTGACGTCTAGCACTTGACACATGAACGTTGACGTCTAGCTCTTGACACATGAACGTTGACGTCTAGCTCTTGACACATGAACGTTGACGCCTAGCTCTTGACACATGAACGTTGACGTCTAGCTCTTGACACATGAACGTTGACGCCTGGCAATTGACAAATGAACGTTGACGCCTGGCACTTGACAAATGAACGTTGACGCCTGGCACTTCAAGTGACGTTGACGTCTAGCTCTTGACACATGAACGTTGACGCCTGGCAATTGACAAATGAACGTTGACGCCTGGCACTTGACACATGAACGTTGACGTCTAGCACTTGACACATGAACGCTGACGTCTAGCACTTGACACATAAACGTTGACGTCTAGCACTTGACAAATGAACGTTGACGCCTGGCACTTCAAGTGACGTTGACGCCTGGCACTTGACACATGAACGTTGACGTCTAGCACTTGACACATGAACGCTGACGTCTAGCACTTGACACATGAACGTTGACGTCTAGCACTTGACAAATGAACGTTGACGCCTAGCTCTTGACACATGAACGTTGACGCCTGGCAATTGACAAATGAACGTTGACGCCTGGCACTTGACAAATGAACGTTGACGCCTGGCACTTCAAGTGACGTTGACGTCTAGCTCTTGACACATGAACGTTGACGCCTGGCAATTGACAAATGAACGTTGACGCCTGGCACTTGACACATGAACGTTGACGTCTAGCACTTGACACATGAACGCTGACGTCTAGCACTTGACACATGAACGTTGACGTCTAGCACTTGACAAATGAACGTTGACGCCTGGCACTTCAAGTGACGTTGACGTCTAGAACTTGACACATGAACGTTGACGTCTAGCTCTTGACACATGAACGTTGACGTCTAGCTCTTGACACATGAACGTTGACGCCTGGCAATTGACAAATGAACGTTGACGCCTGGCACTTGACACATGAACGTTGACGTCTAGCACTTGACAAATGAACGTTGACGCCTAGCACTTGACAAATGAACGTTGACGTCTAGCTCAAGAAGACACAGGACTCCAGCAAAAGTTGACGTAGAAGAGCACAGCAATGTTGAGAAGTTGAAGACTGACCAAAATACCCTGCTTTTATACCATTTTCTTACCCTTACAACCTAATTCGACTGGCAACGCTTTACTATAAAAGCCCCCATTTCCTCACTCCCCCAATCATTTTACTATAAAAGCCCACTTGTCTATAAAAGGACAAACAGACAAACAAACGGACAAACTCTTCTCAATTATATAATAAGATAATGATGGATTATAGGTACCTACCAAAATACCTGGTACTACCCCCAAATTGGTAACATACCTGTAATACTTCCATCCTGGGAACCATACGTAAACTTGGTGCCTTTATTTAACAAGTCCTAGTTGGGGGATATAATCTATAATCCCTCATATTCCTGTACAATGTACCCCAAAGTGGTAACATCTCCGCAATAGACCCGTATTGGGAATCATACATACTTGCGTAAATCCTAGAAAGAAATACGGGGACTCAAACGTCCCCTTTTGGGTGGGGACTCAACCGGCGGGACTCAATCGGCCGGGACTCAACCGGCCAGGGACTCAACCGGCGGGACTCAACCGGCGGGACTCAACCGGCGGGACTCAATCGGCGGGACTCAAACGGCGGGACTCAATGGTCGCGTTCCGAAAATCTAAGGCTATCATTTCATTTTGTCAATTAATATTTAGCCAAAAACATTTGGTTCAGTAAACATTTGTCAGTTTTCTAGATAAATTTTTGGGGTTTCGTTAAATTATTTCTTAAATCTTTTAGATTATGTTATCTCTTTTTAGTAGAACAGATTCAAAATTGTCTATATTTTTATTAATTATTTTGATTATTTTATTAGTGTTACAATTATCCTGCTCCTCTAAAAAAGATGTTCGAGATTATACAGAAGCAGAATTGGATAAACTCTACGAACAATGGGCAGAAAATGATTTAGAAGACGATGATGAACAAGAAAATAAACCAAAAACAGTTCCTCCTATTGATTTAAATTTATTACGGGAAAATGTATTTTTTATTTAAAAATTTCTTAAAATAATTAAAAAGGCTAATTCCCCAGATGATTTACTTAAAATGACAAAGAAGGGACAGTCTGTTATGATGTTTGTTTCTGTTGCTAATCCTGTTGATAATTCAAAATCAACAAAAGAATTAACTGAAAAAATATCTGCACAATGGCAACAATCTTTTTTTAATAATCATATTGATGCGCAGGTTTTTGATTTACAAATTATTTTAAAAAAATTTTTACAAATTAGAATTATGTTGTGGATGATGACAGAATTTTATTTCTCTTTAAAGGTTAATTGACCTAAAATAAATATTTCTAATTAAATAATTTTAGAAGGGCAGCAAGCTTGGGATGCTCGTGATTTTCTTATCAAACAATCCGAATGCAAAGAAATTCAACTTGAGGGTAGAACAATTCCCGGGCCAGCCTCTTATGTTTTTAATGCCAAAATAAACAAACCTGATGAATTGTGAATTTTTTTAAAATAAGTGTACTTATATTGTTTCACTTAAATTTATATTTTTAATTTAATAAATCTCATCGTTTTCAATTTAAATTAATGTTAGCTAACAAAAAGTTTTGTTTTATTAGCTTATATATTTCAATTTTAATTCTGTAAAGAATATTTTTTCCATTAATTTTTTAAAAGAACTTTCAGAAAATGAGAGTTGAGAAAACAAAAACTCGCCGTGGAAAAAATTTTCTTGAAGATAGAGCGCCAAAATTAATAGAAAATGATAAAACAGCAATAATTATGAGAGGAAATAAAATGTCAGAAATTGTTGGGAAAGTATTAAATGAATTGTATTTATTAAAGAAACCTTTAGCCACGAAATTAATGAGGTTAATTTTTTAATAAATTTATAAAAAAATAAAATTTAAAGGAAAAGAGAAATCCATCCATTTGATGATGATTCTTTGCTTTGTAATTTCTCTAAAAAATTTGACAGTTCTCTTTTTGTTTTTGGGTCAAGTTCGGTAAGTAAATTTTTTGACATTGGTAGCCAGATTATTTTTATATCTAACAAACAAAATTTTGTTTTATTTTTACGTCCTATAATTTAGAATGGCCATTAGACATCCATGTAAAATATTTAATTTTAAAAAATATTTTAGAAAAAACGCCCAAATACATTGACATTCGGCCGATTTTTTGATCATCAAATGCTTGATATGGTTGAACTACAAATAGAAAAATTTGTTTCTTCAGAGGAATTTAAGGTTTTAATTTAAAAATAAATCAAAAGGTTATAGAAATTTGTAAGAAAGGGAAAATCTAATTTAATAAAATTTAAATATTTAGTATTTACAAAAGGAAACCATTGGCAATTAGCCTTTTTAATTCCATTTTTTTATTTAAAAATTTAAGGCTGGAGGTGTTGCAGTAGGCACAAAACCTTGTATTATTTTACAAGGTTCTTTATTTGAATCAGACCCGACACTTCAACGGTTTGGTAATTTAATGGTAGATTGGTTTCGCGGTCCCGTTGTAGAAACTGTTAGGCTTCAAGGACTTGAATTAATTATTTCTTTGACTGCTTTGGATGAAAAGAAAATTCTTTTACGTTTTTACAAGTTTGTTAATTGAATTTTAGAAAATTTTTAAAAATTAATTTTTTAAAGAACATTACTAAAACGATCACCAAACTCTGAAAATCCAAAAGTAGAATTAATTGAATTGGGGCCTCAAATTGATTTTAAATTGGATAGAAGCAAATTGGCTAGTGATGATCTTTTCTCTACTGCTCTTAAAAAGCCGAAACAAGAATCTAATGTTTGTTTTTTAATTAAAAACTATTTTAAAAAGTAAATTGGTGAGGAAACTGAGAAAAATCGGACATTAATTGGGGGAATTCAAAAATTACTCTACTCCCTCATACTTTATAAAAAATTTTATTTTTTAAGAAGCCAAAAGACAAAAATACAAAATTCGATGCTTTTGGAAATAAAATGGCAAAAGTACATACAGGCAGACAACGATTGGATGAAATACAAACAAGAAAGGTTAAAGCTCTTAAAAGAAAACGGTCAAAGAGTGAGAATATGGAAATTGATGACTAAAATTGTTTTTAAAAAATATTTGTTGAGGTTTATATAAAATTTTTGTTTTCATAAATTTGGAAATAAATGGAGAGATTAGGGTGACTTATCAGTCAATTCTGCCTGGGTTTTTAAATATACGATACGTCCTTTGGGTACGTACTTGATGGAGATACAAAATTTTGTTAAATTTATTTAAACGGAAACGAAACAAAACTTTTAAATACAATTAAGACTGAAAAACAAACAATTTAAACTTTTCTAGCCAGTTTCTTTATTCTTTAATATTTCCGAATATTTTGGTAATAATTTCTTTAAAAATTCTGCCTGGGTTTTTAAACTCTAAAATTAATTTTTAAAAATATTTTTAAACAAAAAAAACATTTGTTGATTGTTCAGCATTTTTTCTTTGTCCAAATTCAAAGCAAAGACAAGTATTTTCTTTTAATTCCTCATTTGTCATTAATTCACAACGAGGGCCTATTCGACAATTATTTGTTATCTTTAATTGAGTTGTTAGAATTTTAAAATTAAATTTTAAAAAAAATACTTTAGTATCCGGTCCGATTCTACTTTGAATGCCAAAAACATTATTGTTACCAATTTCTTGTGCATAACAAACTTTAAATTAAAACTTATTTTAAAGAAATTTTGCTAAACTATATTAGCGAATGAGGGAAAATTTAGGGGGTTATCTAACCCATAAAGATTTGGAATTAAACATATGTGTGAATGTTTAAGTCAAATAATATTTTTATAAGTTAAGATTTTACTAGTCTGTAAAATAAAATAAGACAATCGACGTTATGGTATATGTATATCTCGCAAACAAAATGTCATATTATCAAAAATTCCGACAATATTTCTCTACTATAAAAGTCATTAGATTCTACACTTTAATCCTCAAAACTATCAACAACAACAATTTCACATCACTCCGTAGCTTCAAAACAAAAGGTAGATGCGTCAACTTTCTTCTATGGCTTCAACGGCTGTCGTCTTCGCCTTGTTCCAGCTTCTCGTATATTTTGGCAATGTTAGTGCAAAATCGGGCACAGTCGGACTTGGAGATCATACTCTGAAGGATGATGGCAAAGTTGAGCTCTATGAACATTCCAAAGTAGCCGATTATAACTCCCTCGAGGCCTACAGAGCGGCGTTTGGAGATAAAGCCTGCAATATCAACTTTGACGGTGTCGGGAATATGTAAGTTTAAAATATTTTTTCTTAATTTCCTAAGCCATTTCTCTATACTTTTAGCGCTCTTTCCTACGAGAAGGACAAGCGTTGCACTGTTGATCTGCTCACCAATCAAGCGGAAGTCTTTAGCTTTGTTGCGGGACTGAAAGGGAGTACAGACGAACTTTATAGCTGCTTGAAGGCATATAACAGTTCGGCTATCATCAACAAGTAAGGGCTTTTAAAGCCTAAAATATACTTTAATATTTTCATTTTTTAGTTTGCCGTTCATGTACCGTTTGACTCAGGCCGAATTTGATAACTTAGAAACGGGTAAACACAAGAACAAGACGAAATGTGGTGGCGATGGTGATTGTACAGACACGAGATGCAAACAGTCTGAGATTGTTTGGTGGAGGGATGAAAATAATGTTCTGGCAAACGTCAGCCGGGCGGGTGTGTTTTTTTATAAAAAATTGTTTTTTAAAATAAACTTTTGAATTTATTTGTAGTTGGTAGTCTCTCTGCGTCACACAGTGAAATAATGAAAAATGGAGAAGAATTGACATTCATTGTAACTGTCAAAGATCAGAAAGAATGTCAGAATGAGCCAAACAATTGGGAAATTACTGCCAATAATCCAAAACCTGAAATGAAGTATTTGCTGGTATTTCATTTGTTGCCTCAAAGCAGTGGAAGGATAATCGGCCAGGAAGAGGAGGATTCGGACTGCAAATTGGAGTTGGAAATTACTTTTGTAAGTTTAAATTCTTTTTTCAAATACCTTCCCAATATTTTTTTTCATTTTTAGAACAGTAGTGACTACACATTGCTAATGAAAGGAGGAGAACCACCACCAATAGTACCAACTACACTTCCACCGGCAAGTCAAACAACAGCAAAGCCAACCGTCACAATAACCACAAAAGGAGTTAAGAACAACATAACGACAACAAAAGCACCGGAAAAGAAGAAAGGTGGCTCAGGTGGAACAGTGATTATAATCGTTGTTGTTCTACTTGTTTTGCTTGTTATTGGTGGGGTTATTGGATATTTCTTTGTCTACAAAAAGATGTACGCTAAAGAAGCTGAAGAAGGAAAAGAAGATAAAGAAAAAGGAGGAGAGAAGAAAGATGGTGAAGGAGGAGAAGCGAAAAAAGACGGAACAGCAACACCACCATCAGCTGTGCCTGAAATTGGGTTGAAAACAGAAATTGGAAAGGATGATGGAAAAGGGAAGGATAAAGAAAAGAAGGAAGAAGGAGACGACGACAAAGAAGAAAAGGATGAAGAAAAAGAAGACGAGGAAAAGGATGGAGAAGATAAGGGAGTAAAATCTGAGGGGGGATCACAAATGTCAAAGAATGAATCTGTGGAATTGGCAGATAAAGGAAAGAAGGATGCCGCTGATCCATATGCTGAATAGAAAGAATAAAAGGAGAGGAGAAAACAAAAATCTAAAAAGGAAAGAAGTAAAAACGGAATAAATAAATAATTGATAGATAAATAAATATATTTTGTATAAACATTTCTCTCTCCCTACCTAATTATTAATTGTTGTTTCCCTAAATAAGTATGTTTGTTGTTGTAATTATTGTGTTCATGTTTGTAAAAAATAAAAATAAATTTTGCCTAGTTTTAAATTTTTTCTTTAACCTTTATCCAAAGAGAGAATTTAGGAGGGAGAAGGAAAGGGAAAGAGGTTCGAAAAAGTCATAAGATTAGGAAAAGAAATAAAAACAAACCCGAGCCAATTTCAAATAAATTCTCATCACCAATTTTCATTAAATTTCCAGGCGGTCCTCTAAAATATTTTAAAAAAAATAATTTAAAATATAAAATACAAATTTTGAATTATTGCAGTTTCTTCAACTATATTATTTGAACCAAAAATAATTTTGCCTTCACCAGCGTCTATAAGTGCCTAAAAAATTTAAAATTTTGAGAAATTAATTTTGAAAATATTTTCAAAGAACAAAAAATTTCATATAATTTCAAAAACCTGTGGGTGTATAACAGTTCCAGCCCCAATAACAATATTTCCACCACGTAAAATAGCTTTGGCTACAACAACAGCCTCTGGATGTATTTCTACTTTCGGTTTATTTAATTGTTGAAGGGAGTCATCAGCCATAATTTATTTAAATATTTAAAGAAAAAAAATAAATGATAATTATTTTTTGAAAAAATATTTTAAAGGTAAAACAAATATTAAAAAATTATTCGAAGAAATTTTTTATAAATTTATTAACATACAAATTATTAAAATTATTTATTTTCAAAAAATTTAATTCCCGCTTTAAAAAATAATTGTCCATTTTCATAAAATTTATTTATTTTCTCCAAAGTTTCAATCTTTTTCTTTGTTAATTCCAATTTAGCTTCTAATAAAGATTCTTGTAAATCCAGTAAATTATTATCAGTTTCCTCAGAATCGTCTAATTTTGATTTTTTTGGAGTATTTGAATTTAATATATTATTTGGCTAAAAATATAAATAAAATTTAAAAATTTAACAAAAATTAAAATTTTAAATTTACTCGTTTTCTAGAAGTTGAAGATTGATTTGAATTTTCATTTAAATCAATTTGCGTAGTTGAGCTAGTAAAAAGGTTATTTTTTAATTTTTTTATAAAAATTTTTTTTTTAAATTTTCAATTTCTCGAAGATTTTCCAAAATACATACGACAAAAAATAAGTTTAAATTAAATATTCTAAATATTTACCAATTGTTTGGAGAAATACAAAAATTATTTTGGCTTTTATTAAATTCCAAAGTGTCATCATTAATATTTGAAATCACTCCAGGTAATCCACAAAGAAAACTTTCGAGCATTCCACCAACTATTGGAGGTGATTTGCTAGAGGCTGTACTTGTGTCATCACTAAATTTATTATCATTTCCCTCATTAAAATTTTCATACTTTTCTTTCTTCACCACATTTTGTTCATCATCATAGCAAACTTTCGAAGTTTGGTCTCTAGAAATTTTTTTGAGATATTTAAAGCATTCTTTAATTTGTTTAGTCGACACAATATTGTCCGGAAATTCATTATTCATAGCAGTAGTTACACGTTCCCAAGCTGCCGTTACCCGTTTATTTGCTTCCACAGAACGTGTTGCTGGATGTATATCATCATAATTTTCATTAATTAATTCCAAAATTCGAAATTTCATAATTTTTGTAAATAACATTTGGAAAGTTTTCTTTTAGTAATTTCTATTTTCTTTTAATGAAAATAACAAAGAGGCATCCAAAACCTCTCCTCATTGATTATGTTTGTGCAATAGTATTTATTTCCCACACACTGCATTTTTTCCCTCCCCGGGGAAAATCGATGGGGATTCGTGAGAAGAAAAAGGAATGTTCTAAATAATTTATAAAAACGTTACAAAACGTCAGAGTATCAAAATGTTAAAAATGGTTTTTTAATTGAAATAAATTTAATTATTTTTTCTTAAAAAGTTCAGAGAATAAAGAAATTGAAAATAGAAGGAATTGATCTTTTTAAATTCCCATATATTTTAACATGAAAAATTCCAAATTAAAAAACTTTTATTTTTACTAAATTGAAATAATCAAAGAATTATAAATAAATTTTAAAAAATTTTCTTACAAAGACATCATAAATGTATTTTTATATACAAGCAAACACTCATTTAATCATTTTGTTTCATTTTTTGTTCCAAAAAATTAACTAACAAATTCCTGTCTACTGTTAACAGAATATGTTCATCTTTATTAAATTGAATAATTGAATGGTCTCTAAATTCAATTAATTGTTGACGAAGAACAGTTTCTGATGTTGTAGCAAATTCCTCTCTAAAAAATTAATTAAAATTTTTTTATAAAAATTAAACTTTAAAATTCGACAAAATTTCGGAATATTTAGAGAATCCCATTTAAAACGTTCGGAATACATTGGTGCATGAATTGCTAATTGTTCAAGTATTTTTCTCATATTTGTTGTTGTTGCTTGCCAAAAAACATCCAAAGATTCTATTGTGTGTGCACGTCCACTAACTCCTTTTACACGATGATCTAAAATATTTCCATTTGAAGAAAAAACTTCATTTCCATAACAATTTAATGTAGAGACTGAGAAATATAACCAATTAAAGGCATCACGGAGAGACTTTAAAAAAAGAAGAAAATTTGTGATTTTATTTAAATTTTAATGATTATATGTAAGTAGAAGCTAAATGATTAAATTATAATATCGATATTTAAATATTTAGGTTACTTAAATCATACGGGATTATTAGATCGTGGATTGGAGTTGAAAAGATTAACATAAGGGAAAAACCATAAAACTATTGCTAATTCAAAAATATAATAAACCAATGTTTAATCGGTCCCTAAATAAATGTTATTTAAAAAATTATTACTCCCTAAATAATTTTATTATCAACTATCAATAATAAAAGGTCACCCCGAGCCGGTAATTATTTAGTTTCCCACCCCCAGTCAATTTTTTTGGAAAATATGTAAAAATGGTCAGTTTGAACAACAATTGTAGAAACCATCGAGCTGTGTCGAATGATACCGAAATCAATAAAATCCGACTTGATTGGACCGAGATACAGACCCCTGAAAATTAACAACCACAGGGGCAATTTTTTGAAATGAAAAAAATTGCACAAATGATAGCTCATTCGAAAGAGCTTGTCGAGCTGAGTCGAATGACACCGAAATTAACGTAATCGGACGAGTTTTGACAAGGTTATGACATAAGGTTGCCGACTCCGGTAGGTCTAAATAATGTCATAACTTTGTCAAAACTCGTCCGATTACGTTAATTTCGGTGTAATTCGACTCAGCTCGACGAGTTCTTTCGAATGAGCTATCATTTGTATACTTTTTCGTCCTTTTGGTTTTTCGCCCCTGTGGTTGTTCAATTTTCAGGGGTCTGTATCTCGGTCCAATCAAGTCGGAGTTTGTTGATTTTGGTGTCATTCGACACAGCTCGATGGGTTCTACAATTGTTGTTCAGGCTGACCATTTTTACATGTTTTTCAAAAAAATTGACTGGGGGTGGGAAACTAAATAAGTACCCCCCGAGCCTTATTTATCCAAAAATTAAAAACCTGATCCCACAAGAGAGCTGCATTTACATGATCAACACTAGCAATTAAACGAATCCTCTTTGACCTAACGAGAATTGAAAGAGCTTCTTGTTGTTGTCTTGATCGAAGTTGGGGTGAATCAATATGATTAATTAAAATAAAAATAAACTCTTCTTTTATTTTGTCAATTAATTCTAAAAAATTCAAAATAATTTAAAAATCCGAAAAAAACCTTTTGCCCAATCATTTATTTTTGTTTTAAATTTTACACGTGAGTTCAGTTCCAAATTAATTTCAATTTGTTCAAAAATTGTAGAAACTGACATTCCAGGAAATAAACCATCAATAACAAAGCAATGATAGGAAGACAAAAATTCTCGAAAATTTTCAAATAATTTCCGTTTAGATCCCAATCCATGTACCTAAAATTGCTTCTTCTAAATCGAAAAGTTTTTCAAAAAAAATACCAAAATATTAAATTCTCCACTAAAAAGTAAATTAAACCATTCTTGAAAAAGATTTAATTCCCTTTCTTTTAAAATTAAATTTTTAGGTAAATAGTCATCCAATTCCTAAAAAAAATAGAAATTAAGTAAATTTAAACAAAAAACATCAAACAAAAAAGAAATCAAAAACTTACATTAAAGCAAAGCCTGATTGCAGAAATATTACAATCAAGAGGTCCTTTCCCCCCAATTTTTTGTACTTTGAGTTTTCTGGTTGAAGATTCCATCTTTTGTTCATCCATTAAAATATCTTCTTTTTCTTCCTCTTCTTGTTCAGAATCGACAACTCCAAAGTTTAATTTTCTTAAAATCAGAAGGAAAAAATAAAAATTAAAAGCCAAAAAAACCTTTGTGCTCTCCCAGCTATCCGACTTGGTGATTTTCTTTTAGGACTAAAATAATGGGTCAAAGCTGCGTCTAAAACATTCATTTGATATACCAAACGAGAAGGTGAAGGAGTTTGGGGTGTTTGTTGCTGTCCATTCCTTTCATCCTCTCTTCTCGGATTTTTTGGCGGCTAATAAGTTTATTTAAATTTGTTCGAAAATTTTATTAAAATTAAAACCGTTGTTTGCATTGACTCGTCCATTTCAAGTTCCATTCCGGCGCATCCACGTTTTAACATTTTTACAAAAAAATTTTCAAAAAGTTTAATAAAACTGTTGTAAAACTAAACAATAAAATTAAGTGAATTTAATATTTTTATAAAAAAATCTTTAAAAAATCGAATTAAATTTTCATTTAAAATTAAATTCTGAAAAAGAGAAAAATAGACATAATGCCAGGTTTTTTAATTTTTTAAATAAAATTTTTTTAGATCAATCGATTTTCCAAAATTCTATTGGGGTGGCGCTCCGACTCGGGCACAGTGATCCATTTGCACAGTAAGACTTTTGCACAGAGGGCATCTGCACAGTGGACGATTGCACAGTAATTTGTGGTTAAGTGGGTTCGTGTTAGGTTTTACTTATTGTTATAAGGGAATAAATGTTACTAATTATTAATACCTTTACTAAAAAAATCTTAAATTGTATAAGAATTCATAAGAAAAATCTGTAAATCACATAAAGGATCAAATGAATAAAAAATCTAAATGAACATAATTATTGCCCCGAGTCTTAACAACATTTTTTAAATAAGAAAAAACTTTTTGGATACGTACCCCTTTTAAAAAATCTGATTTCTGCTGCACTGTACAACCCCAACTAATATAGCAGACTCAGGACTACAAGGGGGTATGGTAGCCTTTCCAACAAAATCTATTTTTGATATACATAACAGGTCGTCAAAAATGAGCGGTGTGAAGCAGCATTATTTTATTGGCAAACGGGGGGGGGGGGTAATTAGCTTTATTGACTGTATTTAAATTTAGAAGAAACCATTTTATTATTAAGAAACTTATTAGAAAGTAAATTATTTATCATTAAAAATTTGTAAGAATTCATTTTTACAACAAATACTTGCACTCTTTAATAAAGATCTGCTAGAATTTGTCCACTTGATAAGCGAACGAAAATTTAGAATATGTAAAAAAGAATTAGGAAATACTTAGGTTATAAAAATAATTATGAATTCTTAACAATTTAAGAATTTTTTAGTAAAGGTATTAATAATTAGTAACATTTATTCCCTTATAACAATAAGTAAAACCTAACACGAACCCACTTAACCACAAATTACTGTGCAATCGTCCACTGTGCAGATGCCCTCTGTGCAAAAGTCTTACTGTGCAAATGGATCACTGTGCCCAAGTCGTGTCACCATTGGGGTTACTTTGTTTTTTTTCACAGTTTTTTCTTTTTTGTGAGATTGTTTAAATTAGGGTTGGTCCCCGAGCCTTCGGGGTTGGAAAAGTCGGGGGTCGGGGTTTTCGGGGTTGACAAAGTCGGGGTCGGGGTCGGGGTTGCTCAAATTGTTCGGGGTCGGGGTCGGGGCTGAAAATAATGTCGGGGTTCGGGGTCGGGGGTCGGGGTTGAAGTGAAAATTTACAAAATCCAGCATTTTTATCCAAAATTACTGTTCAAAATCAACATTTTTATTAAAAAATCAACTTAATCTTCATTATCTTCACTTTTTGTATCTAATTCGTGATTAGTTGAAGGCGCAAGAAGTACTTTATCCAAGTTATCCTTCATAATCCCCAAAATCCTCAAACCCACAAAATAACTCTTACTCCCCTTCTTATGTAAAGGGATTGAGGGGATATGAAGGCATATCAGAGGATTAAGATGGATATAATGGGATTTAGAGGGATTTGACGGGATATCGGGGAGTTGCAAGGATAACGGGAGAAATCCATCTATCCATCAATTTCTCCTAAAGCCTCTGTATCCCTTCATTGTGTCTAGCGCCGCAGGCAAAAATTTTGAGAATTTTGGAAGGTCAAGAGCCAGATTTCTTCCATTTTCGGCGCCGCAGGCAAAAATTTTTAAAATTTTGGAAGGCCAAGAGACAGATTTCTTCAATTTTCTGCGCCGCAGGCGAAAATTTTGGAAAATTCATGACTAGTTTAAAATTTCTAATATTGTTTCAAGTTTAAAATATTTAAAAAAATAAATTTACAAATTTAAAATCAAGATCATAGTTTAAAAATATTTATTTTTGAGAAGAAAAATTTTCTCAGCCTTATTTCCATCCCTGGATTTGAACAACATTCCTATCAAAATAGCTAAATGGGTGAAATCAGTTAACCTAACCACTCAACCATCGACCAACAAAGGGAAACAGGAGAAAATATAAATATTCCTTTCCCTTTTCCTTCATATATTTAGCATCAAAGTCCCGATCCCGTTCCGATCTCTAGTTAATTAATCCAGTTTGAGTCGGGGGCATAAAAATTTTTCGGGGTTCGGGGTCGTCGGGGTCGAACTTTCGGGGGTCGGGGTTTTCGGGGTTGGGAATGTCGGGGTCGGGGTCGGGGTTTTAGGTCAAAAAATGTCGGGGTTCGGGGTCGGGGTCGGGGTTAGTCGGGGTCGGGGACCAACCCTAGTTTAAATTTTTATTTTTGCAGATAATTTTGTTTTAAAAGTTTTATTTACTGAATTTTCAAATGTCTATATTTGATGAAGATGCATCACCTTTTCCCGATGAAAATGAATTTGATCCAAGACAATTCGATGAGAACACTATAGATTTTTATGCTGTTTTGAATGTTCCAAGAGATGTTTGTTTAAATTCTTAAAATATTTCAAAACATTTTAGGCCTCAATTGAAGACATAAACAAAGCTTTTAAACTTCGAAGTCTTCTTTTTCATCCTGATAGACATGTGGATGAGACTCACAGACGTGAAGCTACCAAAATTTTTGTTACCGTTAAAAGAGCACAAGAAGGTTTTCTGAAAAGTTGTTTTGCCTTATAAATTGTTTCTTTTTTCAGTTTTAAGTGATCCAAAACTTCGTTCGATTTATGACACTCTTGGAGTTAAAGGAATCGATTTAGAAGTTTTTTGATTTTTTATATTTATTTTTTAAATAATTTTAGGGTTGGAAACTCGTTAACCGTTCTACAAATCCAGAGAATATTCGTCGTGAATATGATTTTCTTTGTCGGCTTAGAGACAATGAAATTATGCTTCAAAGAGTTAAACCTAGCACAAGTTTTGTTGTTTACTCCTCAATTGCTGGAATGTTTAAACGTGGGGAGGATGATGAAGAAAATGAAAGGTTTTTACTTTATTTAAAAGGCTTAAAAATTTAATTTAATAAGCATTCCTAAAATTTCAGATTTACATTACTTGGAATGAAATTAGATCAAGACGCAAGCTGTGCCATAGGTTCTTCAAACCGTCTTGGACTTTCAGGCCAAGTCAGATTTAATGAAAAAGGATTGGGTACTGGTCATCTACAAACTTCTTGTAATTGGATGGTCTCTTCCTCAACTCATTTACAGGTATTTAATTCAATATTTTATCAATATTATCTTATTTAGATTTAAATTTATTTTCAGAGTTCAATAGCACTTGGCCCAACATTTATCAATACTTCATCAAAAATTGTGCTAACAGTTCCCCAAAATACCCATAGATGGATTTCTTGGCTTACGGGCTCTTCTTTTGTTTTACAACCAACAATTCAATATAATACTATTCGTGGCGATTTTGATTTTATTTTAACTCCATGTTTGTTTTTATTCATTATTTTTTCATAAGGAAATTTTTTTTAATTTTATATAAATTAGTCCGTTTCCTGTTTATTAATTATAATTTAATAATTCTTTTTATTTAGTTGTTGGTTTTCCTCTTGGTGGTGGAAATCAAGGAATGATTGTATTGAATATTGGAATTAATAGGCATCCATCTCTTATTCTTTCTTATGTGAAAAATAAATTTGACCATCCACAATTTGCCTGCAATTTAACTGTGAGAAAATTTTTTTGATTTTTGTGATACTGCTCGATTTATTTCAATAATAAATTTCTTAGATTTCTCCAATCCAACCATCACTTCGGCTTACATATCATTTGAGATATCCACAAAATGAATTACATTATGAAGCAAGCTGCGTTCTGGCTCTTAGTGAATTTACACCTTCTCTATTAATTGAAAAACGTCTTACAAAATTTTCAAAAATTGGTGTTAATTTACTTTTCTCATTTCCTTCTTTTATGCTACAGGCGAGTTTTCGGTTCGTTTTCTAAAATTGTTTGAATTTTTTAAAATTTAAATTAAATAAAAGCAAACACGAAAGATTGAAGAATTCTCTCAATTCCTTATTTGAATTTTTTTTATTTTTCAGAATTCGGACAGGTTTAAATAATTATGAATTTCGTGTTATGCTCTGTGAACAACAAGATGATATTGTTACTTCATGCTTATATGGTTTAGTATTGCCTGCTGTTTTTTTGAATGTTTCGAGATTGTTATTTAGAAAACAAATTTCTTGGATTTTTGAAGTTTTGACAGGAAATCAATTAAACGGAGATGAAGTTGTAAGGAAATTTAATTATCGTTATATAAAGGGCAGTTAAAAACAGAATAAGTCAAAATCAAACAATTAATATGGGTACAATATAATTTAAATTAGAGATTTTTCCTGAGCCACTTACAATCCTAACAATGTAAACAAATTTTTGAGACGGGAAATTAATGTATGTTGAAAGAAAAATCAATAACTTGTTGAATTTTAATTAAATCTCCCTTTTCCTAATTTCTACAATTTTAATAAAGCAATACAATAATTTTCAAGTTAATTGAAATAAAAAAAGAACAAGCACAAAAAGCTGTTGAATTAATGCGTGCAAATGCAGAAAAAGTAGCAAACGAAGAAAAACGTAAAAATGGACTTGTAATAATTGAAGCTTTTTATGGGCAAATGCAGAATGATAGACCTGCTTCAGAATTATATCCTTTACTTGGAGATAAAGTTGTTGATGTTACTATTCCATTACAGGCATATGTACATGATTCACAATTACGTATTTATAGTGGAAAGGTAAAAATGAAAATGTAAAAATTTGGTAAAATACACATTTGAATATGCTTTCTTAAAATTTTTTCTTTAATTGTGTTATTTTTAACAGTTCTTTCTTAAAATAATTTTTTGAGATTATTTATTTATAAAAACATTTTTAAATATTTTAAGGATCAAATGCCTGGTTTCTTTGATCCTTGCCCAGGCGAACCAAAAATGTTAAAGGTTCTTTACCGTTTTAGTGGACATCTGCATTCTGTCGCTGTTTTAGAAGACCAACCATTAATGTTGCCGATGAAAGCACACAGAGTTTTACAGGAAATTGAAAATAAATAGTAAAAAATAGTTTTTATTTTTTTCTTATTTTTAGGTATTTCATTTCCTTTTGTTAGTGATGGAATTTCAGAAAAAAGGGGTGGGGTTAAAGATTTTATTTAAATATTTTTTTGAATAATTTGGGGAAATTTTATTAAAGACAAATATTTAATTATTCTATTTTTGAAATTAATTTTATATTTTTTTATTCTTTAAAAGTTCAAAAATGTTTTTAACTAGGCAATTTATCACTTCCCTTTAAAATATTTAATTTAACATTTATTTAATATAAGAATTACAATGACTCATTCTCTCTCTTTTTAAGCATATTTATTCTTTTAGTTATTCACATTGGGTGTGAATATTTATTTATTTTCTCTGCTTTTTTTGTTTAAAAAGCATTTGATTGATCATTCTAAACAAAAATTGGGGACAACACTTAACATATAGCTTCTACATTTATATAGCAAAAATATTTTTTTGCAGAGAGGGGGGGGGGGGAGAAATAAAAATTGTAAAAAAAGGTTAATCAGTCTATTTATTTTTGTAACAAAGGGAATACATATTTATTACAAAATTGAGAAAATAAATATGTCTTTAAAAAATTACTGATTTTTTTCTGACTTAATTTAGAAGAAAATATTTCTTATTTCTTAAAATTCCAAAGACAAATTTTTCTGTCATCATCTAAAATCAAAAATGAATCATTTTTTTATTAAATAATTTTAAATATTAAAATTATTTATTTTTTGATTTTCCATCACTTACAAATTTGTTTTAGTCATTTACACAATTTTTGTTTTATCCTTCTACTCAAAATTAATTTTTTTTGAATTTCTGTTAAAGTTTTGCTCAAACTTTATTGTTAAACAATTGTTTTTTTTGTTGATTTATTTTTTTGAATAAAAATAAATTAAAAAATATATTTAAATAATTTGTTGACCTAAAAAAATAAAAAAATTATTTTTTAAATATTTTATTTTTTTGTTTTTTCTTTCTTTAAAAATAAATTTAGGTATTTTATTGAATTTATTTGAAATTAAAAATGGGAAAACAAGACAATCAAAATAATCCAATTCCTTCGGCTCCACCTAGTGAAGCACCACCATATCCTCAGGTAAAATTAAAAGATGTTTTTTAAAATTATTTTCTATCCTTAAAGGTCCAGCGTGAAAATCAATTGCCTTTGCAAACGGGTGCCAATGAACGTGAGACTAATCCAGACCCTCCACCTTACCAGGTTTTTTTATTAAATTCTAAAATATTTGGAACAATTTATTCTTTTATAAAACTCACAAAAACTTAACAAAACTTTCACTTAAAATTCTCAAAAAGGAAATTTTTAAAGGAGACTTTCAATTATCCACAAGTTCCGCCATACCCCGTGTATGCACCGACTACAACAATGCCAACTTCAGTACAACCGCCTATGCCGACTCAGCCACCTCCACATTATGTTTATCCGCCAGCTCCGGCTCCTCAAATTATTTATAATGGTAGTTTAAATTTTGATTTATAAATTTATTTTTTAATAAAAATATTTTTATTTGAATTAAAAATAAAAATATTTTTATTTGAATTAAAAATATATTTTTGGCTCAATTTATTAAAAGAATTATTTTTCTAGTCAATCCACAACCTCCACCGCAACCTACCACAAATACTCATACATCAACTAATGTTACTGTTGTTACTGCGACTGGGCCTTTGCGAGTTGATCCATGTCCAGCTTGTATGGTAATACTTAAATTTTTGGAAATAAAAATTCGATAATATTTTTCCTTTTTTTCGTGATTTTGTTTTATTTTTAAATTTTTTCTTCCAAAAAATATTTTTTTAATTACAAAAAGGGCTCTTTTGTCAACTATACTGATTGTTGTTATCTGACCATCCTCATCATTATTGCAATTTGCACACTTCCATTTGGACTTCTTTTGGTGCCTTTCTTTTTCTGTGCTTGTCGCAAACGCTGTAATGGTTGTGGACGTCCTAAATAATAATTTGATTGGTGGAAGGGGTAATTTTTTGATTATGAAAGAAGGAAGGGATTATTGGAAATATGTATTTAAAAGATTTTTGTTTAATTTTTTTTGACATTTTTTTAATCTTAAAAAGAGAGAATTTAAAATTCTCTCAAATTGCTTTATTTACTTTTGAATGCCAATTAATTATTTTTATAGTATTTAAAATATATCAATTTTTTATTTTTTGTAGTCACTAGAATATTCACTCAATTACATAATAAATTTTGGGGAAAAATATTTTTGTGACATTTTATTTAATTTTTGAATAATCTAGTGATTATATTTATTTATCTTGACTATTTCACTTTAAATATTTTTGTTATTTTAATAGTATATTTCAACGAGTTTGCCTAAATTTATTTAAAAAATATTTGAATAAAAATATTCTTTTGCTTTAAAAATTTAAATAATAACAGTAATAACAAATAATTTATATAATTGAATATAGTATTACAAGAAAAAAATTTCAATTATCCTTTAATTAACAATTTAGTTTCTTTTTTAATAATTTTTTTCTTAAAATTTTCTAAAGGGAAAATAAGATTAATTAACCCTCCTACTAATTTAGATTATCAATTAAAGAATTTTTGGAAAATGTTCTTTTGACAAATTTAAAAATAATTAAATCAGATTTCATTTAAAAAATCCAAATTCTCTTCATCCCAACAAAACTTTTTTCATCTTTTCTTTAGCATAAGTTGAAGACATTGGCCGTTGATCATCGTCAGATTCTGCTGAAGAGGAAGAAGTATAGGCGTAGGCTGGCTCTATTGTTGAACATTTTGAAGAACTTTTAAAAATTGTTTTTTTAATTTAAAAAAATGATAAACCAAAGATAATGAAGAAGGGGAACTCTGTATTTTCCACAAAAATCAACAAATTTGACTAATTCAGAACAAGATTCGAAATAAACACCTTTACATTTTGGATTTACACATTGATTGGCTAAAATAATAATTTAAAAATATATTTTTAGATTTGCCAATCTTTTCTAAATATGTATTTAAAATTTAAAATGTCAAAGAAAGTAAAAGCTTTGAGTAAAATCTTTAAAAGTAAAATCTTTACATATATAGTGACCGGTTATTAACCGGTACCATCGATTTTCGGTTATGACCGGTTTTCGACCTCCGGTTCCAGTTAATTCGCAAAAAACACCGGTTAACGGTTTCGGTTCTGTTGATCGTCCACCAACAACCCTCTACTTTTATATTTTATTAAAAAACACCCTTTCATAAAATATATTTAAACTTTTACCAGTATTTAAATAATTAACCAATTCTAAAGGAATTAAATTTCTGTATATATTTATTGAAAAACGAATTTTAACAATTCTCGCTGCTAATTCTTTTAATGTTGGCGGTTCTAATAAAATTTCATTAACAAAATCAGTAACTAAAGGATTATTTCGAAGACTTAATTGTTCTAAATTTTTGAGACGAGCAATGCCTGGGGGCAAAACCTAAAAAAATTTTTTGATACAAAGCTGGTAAAGTATTGAAAATTAAAATTCTGTCTCCCCCCCCCCTTCTCCCCTATAATTTCCTTTACTTTTTTTAAATAAATATTTAATTTCCAAACACCTTTATTTTATTATTATGCAAAGATAATGTTGTTAATTTATGTAAATTTGCAATACTTGTCGGAATACTTTCCAAACGATTATCAGCCAAACCCAAAGAAGTTAATTCAGAAAGAGCACCAATAGAATCTGGAACTGTAATTAAACGGTTACCACCAACATACAAAATTTTGAGACTTGAAAAAGGAAAAGAAAATATTTTTTAGAAATTTTTAAAGGTATATTTTTTGGATAAATTTCCGTCTTAATAAATTAAAAATTAAGTACTATCCAGTTATTCCATCCCCCATTTTCCTTTTCTCGGTGGGGGATTCAAGCCCAAAATTCTATTCCATCAGGCAATACTAGGCAATTTTTTGGAGGAAAAGAAAACGCGGAGATCTACAGATGAGAATTGGAAAACCAAAAGGAAGAAGTAAATTTGTTTTTGGGGATAGTGAAGTTTCAACTATCCAGTATTTTGTTCAGAATCACTAAATCAGAAAGAATAGGAAAGTTGGGTGGAGAGAGATAACTGGAATCGTAGAGCTGTCCAAGACTTCCTGGTCTTAAGTTTTGATTCACAACTTTTTTTTGGTCTTGACTTTTGAAAAATTTTCTTCATTGGACAGCTCTAAAAATATTACCAAAATTTTATTCAAAAAATTCCAACTTTTTTAATTTAGCAATAACTGCTGGAATATATTCAATTAAATTTCCACCCAAATAAAGTATTTTTAATTGTTTTAATTGCAATAATTCAAAAGGGAATTGCTCTAATAAATTTCCAGAAATATTTAATTCTTCTAATAATTTTAATTGTTGAAATTCGAAAGGTAAACATTCGAGAAGATTATTTCGAAGACTTAATTGGGTTAGGCATTTTAAAGAAGAAAAGTCTTTTGGAAGAGAGGCCAATTGATTATTTGAAATATCTAATCTAAGGAAAAAATTAAAAAAAAATTTTTTAATAAACAAATAAGCACCTTCTTAAATTTTTGAATTGACAAACAAGTAAAGGAAAATGAATAAAACGATTGGTTGATAAATTTAAAGAAATTATTCTGTCATATTCTCTGTAAGGAGCACAATCTCCGACAAAAGGAGTTTGAGGAATTGTTTCTACATATCTTTGAGATAAATCAACTTCTAAGTTGGCAAAACTGGGAAAATTAAAAATATTATTAGATTGGTTGGTATTATTTTTTGGTTATTAAGTAAAGAGTTAGGGGTGCCTCTCTATAGTATGCTAGGTATATTTTGCCCTCAATTTTGTTAACCTATTAGAAGATTCTCCTTCCTCTATTTGTTTTTCATTGTAATTCTCCAAGTTGAGGTTAGAATCCCTTTGCTCCATAAATAAAATTTAAAGAAAATTCTGTCTAAAAATAATTTAAATATAAAAAATATTTCCTTTAAAAATAAAAATTGTTCAAAAACTAATTTATGTGAACAAAATTAATAAAAAATTCTTGTGACAGTTTTATTTTAGATTTTTTATAATAAAAGTTTACTGTGGAGTTTCGTCAATTATTTTTGTGCTCAATTTTATATTACTAGTAAATAAAATTTATAAAAATATATTTTAACAAAAATTTATAAAGATACAAAAATGATGTCAATAAAATACAAAAATGGAGGAGAAAAAAAGTAAAATTAATCTTTAAATATTAGAAAATTTATTTTAGAGCAAACATGTGACAGATGACAGACGATCTCCTATTAGATATATTTATTTTATTACAATTACTAAATATATTTCTGAATTTTAATTCTTTTTTTGTCCAATATATATTTTAAATATTTAAAAAAAATAATTTTTTAAAGGATGCTTAACATAAAATAACAATAAATGAAGTTAAAGTACACACAATTTAAAATATAATATTTGTAGTTAACACAAAATATTTAAAATAGGGAAAATATTAATTTAAACACAAAATGATAAAGGAATTCCCTTAAACTTGCTCTTTCCTCTCTCTCTTTTTATTAATTGAATGGACTGATTGAAATATATTATGATGTAATTTTATATATAAATTAAATCATTAAAAAGAAAATAAGGAAAGAAAAAAATTACAAAATTAATTAGTAAAGGAAACTCTTATACTATATCACATAATAAAGCACAAAAATATAATAGTAGATGTAATTTTAATTTTAATAAAGTTAAAGCTCTACTTATTTTATTAGTCTAAAATATCCAATACTTTTAATATTTTGTTACTGGATAGTTTCGAGTAATTTAAGTAGGAGCATCAGCTGTATGTAAAGGAGGACTCTTTTCCATTTATGGTGACAAAAGTCCCTGTATTCACTACTTTTATAGGGGGACTATATATAGTCCCTGTATTCCCCCCTTTTTTATCTCTTTATGAATAAAAAAAGTAAAATAAATATTATGAATCTGATAAAAGTAACAACGGACTTTTGTTACCAAAACTCAAAGGAACCTAAAAGATCATTTAAAAAGGGAAGAGTTTTTCCTGATAAATTTGTATGTAATCTTTAATAGAATTATTCACTTGTTATTTCCCTGTATTCCCCCTTTTGTAGTTGTTATAATTGTGGCAAACATATTATGCATTGTTGATTCAAGTGCGGGCAATGCTCTTCCAGTTTTTGAAGTTAAACCTGGTTTGGACATTTGAAAGAGTTTTTGAGCATCTTGATCTCCTTTAGGGTGATAACGAGCATTGTTGACTGCCTCCTCAGCAATATTTCTAAAAATATCATTTTTATTTATCAAATTACCAATTAATCAATTACTTAGCCTCAGCTCGTCCAATATCTTCACGTATTTGTATTAAAGAAGTGAGATATTCAACAGGAATGTCTGGATATTTTCGAACAAGGGAAGAGGCTTCAAGTCCCAAAAGTGTTTTATCTCTTAAATCCAACACTTCTCCAATAGCAGGAAGAATATTAACTATTGCCGGCATCTTAAAAAAACAATTAAAGTAATAGAAGTGAAACCCGTTATAGTTTACACTTTTGGGGCTAAAAATTGTATATTAAAGTGAGTTTTACGCACTAGTTAAGGTATACTATAAAGAGTTTCGACCTAATAGGTTTTAAAAATAATTACCTGAAATTCGGGATCGTCGAAAAATTTAGAAAAAAGTTGTTGAATTCGTTTAGCGTCGGTCTTTAGTCGTTCAACAGCCAAATGGCGCTCCTCATATTTGTTGAAAGTTAATCGACTGAATTTATAAAAATAATTTCAAACAAAATATTTTTTTTTCATTTACCGAACATCAATCCCAATCATAAATTCAGCAACAAGTTTAAAAAGTAATTCTCTCATTAACATACTTCTAATATGTCCACGTAAATGTTTATAATCATTAAAATAATCAGCAATTGTAATACAAATAGTTTCCAAATCATTAGATCCCATTAACCAACTACGTGTCATTATTTGCTCTAAATGTTTAATAATATCTTCTAAAACTTCTTCCAGAAGAGCAGAAATTCTTTAAAAAAATTACAAAAAATAATCCTCTTTCCCCCAAAATAACTAACGTAAATTGTATTCCAACATCAAATTTCTTTTTTAATTGTTCCATTTTGTCAATTAATTCTTGTCTATTAACAACAGAAAATCCGCCAGCTGTAGAACGTGTAGTAAGAGACCCATTTCCATTTAAATCTCCCAATTGTTCTGTTGGTGATAATGCACCCCCAGTGCCATTAGATTCCATTGTTAAACGAATATTCTTTTCAAGTTTATCTGTAGAGTCAAGACAAATATCCAAATTGTTAGCAATTGCAATCTTTTTGAGAAATATTTAAAGAATTAAAAAAATTTCTTCTTACAATTGTAGCTGTATAATGTTGAAAAAGAGAACGATCTTCAAAATGCTTTCCTTTATAAGCCATTGCAGCATCCTTATATTTCCCAGAAAAAATAGCAAATTCATCTACAGCAATATCAATAACACGAGGGATAATATCTTGGGAAATTTCTTTCGAAAGAGCTACCTAAAAATATTTTAAAATAAAAAAATAAAATTTATAAATCACCGTGTCTTCCACCATTCCAAACAAAATACTTGGTAATTGGGTATAATAATGTTTATCATTGTCAGTTTCAGGCAAAACATGTTTGTACCAATCCTATCAAAATTTATAAAAAAATATTCTTTAAATCATTTTAATCTTTACATCCTTCTCTTGAATTAATGTTTTATTAAGCCAATCATGCATATCCCTTCTTGTAATCTCAATAAAACTAAAAAAAGATTTTTCGTTTCTAGTTAATATTTACCGATCACATAAATGATTTTTTGTGGAACGAGGCAAAAGTGGCTGTTCTTGTACAAGAGATTGTGCTTGGATGCCCAAATGGGGATCACCAAGCATTTGCTTACCACTGAAAATAAGTTAAGTTCTTTTAGAGAAATAAAAAAAACATACGGATATGCCTGAATCCAACTTAAAAGTTGTACAAGCTCATTCTTTTCTAAAGGGCTGGATGCAATGTTTTTGATCTAAAATTTTGTAATGATAATAAACTGAATTTTTTCTTTATACTAAACTAGATAGGAGCTTTTCTTAAACAAAAATTTTTTGAAACTTTTCAATTTGAAAATAATCCAAATTTAAACATTTTTCTTTCAATTTAATATTAAATTAATTACTTGAAAAGAAATACTATCATGATAATATTTAATATAACGATCATAAATATTATAATCAGGTGGAAAACAAGCAGCAAGACAAGTTTTTACAAGTTTTAAATCAGAAACAACTTTACGTCTACAAGCTTCTAAATATCTATAAAAATATTTTCTTAAATTCAAACAAAATATTCAACAAAAAACCTTGCCAACCATTGCCTATTTATTGCCTTATCTTCTAATTGATTGCCTTCTAGTCTGTCCCGTACATTTTTAGCTAATACTTCGAAAAGTTGTCGTCGCCATTGCCGTGGTCGACCGGGAGGCATAAAATCGTTGGAAACTGGTCTTTGGTCCAAGTAATAGGTGTCAATCCTTTTTTAAATCAAAAAATATTTTTAAATTAATTAAAATTTTAATTTAAGCTTAAAATCACAAAAAGCAACTTTGAAACATCAAAGGTTCTCAATAGAGTCTAAATCTATAAAAAATAATTAAAAAAACCCCAAACCTCTCTTCCCTTTCAATAATCCTTAACGCTGAAACTAATTGTTGAAGTGCACTGTCATTCCCTTGAACGGCTTCTAATGCTCTCGAACAAATATACCAAACTTGTTTAGCAAGATCATTTACAAGTTTGTCAAGATCGGTAAAATAATTTTTGAGCAACTAAATTAATTAAATAAAATTATTTTTAAATAAAGTCCCCAATATTTTTGAAGATAATTTTAAAATATATTCAAAAACTACCAACATTTTTGTCATATTCCCTCCGCTCAGAGTTCAATTTATGTACTTCAAACATTAAATCATCTCTCGCATTCTCCAATTCCATAATATTTTTGTGTGCATGTAAAAGTTTATTTTCTAAAATGTACCTGGAAAAAATTTTTATATTCAGCCAATAAAATATAAAAAAAATTTTTTTACTCGTGTGTTTTCTCTACTGTGTCCACTAAATTAAAAATATGTTTAAAATTTTCCACAGCAATCGCATATTGACTATGTTGACTGTTTGCCTTTGATAGCATACTTAAACGATTGCGAGTTTCTGGTATAGATTGCAATTTTTCGCCAATTTCTTGCATACTAAAATTTTAAATAATAATTAAAAATTCAAAAACCACCAACCTCTTTCCAATTTGCAAAACTTCTTCAGCGGTTACTTGCATATGAGAAATAGCTGATCGAATACCCTCTAGCTGTGATTGAACACCAGTTCTTAACATTGCCTCTACAGCTGCCTAAAATAATTAAAAAGGGTAATCTTAAGACCAGGAATTTTCAAATACGTACAATACGTGAATCTAATATATTACGTACAAAATGAGATTTATTAGCACTCAAGTTTTCTTAGCGAGCAAACCTTAAGTAGAATGCTAGTAGAGGCTTGTCCTTGTATTTTTACGACTAATTTTTAAAAAGAAAACCTTTTTCCTTTCAGCTTTCTTAAGTAATTCATCTATTTTCTCAACTTGTGACGGTCTTTGAAACATTGTAGCAATCTGATTGTACGTTGCCTCATCAATTTCATTTTTGCTAGAATTCTGTTTTTTAATATCCATTAATTTCTACAAATTCAACATTATTACGAGAAAATAAAATTAAAAATATTAAAGAATTTCTCAGGAAAATAAAAATAAATCTTTACAAAATAATCAATTTTTACACATTTTATTTAATGAAAATTCAAATAATACAGTCGTGGAAAAAAGTATGGAAGCGCTAGAAAATTTTTTCTCAATTCTTAATTTTTCATTCAAAAAATACGTTCTATATACCAATCGAAAGCTCTATTCGTATCTCAGTTGACATGTTTCTGCATTTTTCATGAAAATGAAAATTGGCCGAGATATCCGGTTTAAGTCGGATATACCAAATCCCATTTTTTCGGAAAAATTTTTCAGAAAATATTTAACAAACCCATTTGATAAAGCATATTTTTGTAAGTATTTTCCACAAAACCGCTTAAAAATATTTTTTTCCGGAACAGAGATATGATTTTTTGAAAATCGCATTTTTCGTCAATTTTTGCAAAATTTCCAATTTTTAAGGGAAAAATGCGATTTTCAAAAAATCATATCTCTGCTCCGAGAAAAGATATTTCTAAGCGGTTTTGTGGTAAATGCTCACAAAAATATACTTTATCATTTGGGTTTGTTAAATTTGTTCCGAAAAATTTTTCCGAAAAAGTGGGATTTGATATATCCGGTAGATCCGGATTATCTCGGCCAATTTTCATTTTTATGAAAAATGCAGAAACATGTCAACTGAGATACGAATAGAGCTTTCGATTGATATATAGAACGTATTTTTTGAATGAAAAATTAAGAATTGAGAAAAAATTTTCTAGCGCTTCCATACTTTTTTCCACGACTGTATATTAAAATTGATGGGACAAAAAATTTCCAAATTAAAAGAAAATCAAATTTTAAATACTTTTATTATCACTTTCAATTCCTTTTATTGACAAATTTTTGCTGTCAATTAAAATAATTATAAAATCGGTGGTACTTTTTTCTTTATTTCTATCGTTGATGTATCTTCATTCTAAATAATTAAAAAAAATAATAAAAATAATTCAATAAATTACCGCTGCTCTCCTAACTGCAATTCTAATTTCTGGTTTAATGTATTTCCCTACACCTGAAGAGTATGATTTTGGTTTTTGAATTTCTGTCTGTTGTTGTTTATTTCGATTAGTTTCTTCTTCTGATGAGGTAGAATTTGCTAAAAAGAAGCAAAATTTAAAATAATTACATTTTCTTTTTACCTTTAATAGCCAAAGCTTTTCTTTCCATCTTGACTGCCTCAGCCGCCGCTTCAAATGGATCAACAAAAACTTCAGCAGCCATAATTTTTACATCTTCTAGCGGTCGATCTTCTTTATCAGTTTCGACATTTTCTATAGCACATAATGTTGTTGCCCCGCCAACTAAACGTCCAAAAACTGTATGTTTTCCATCTAAATTTGGACAGGCAGCAAATGTTATGAAACTAAATAGAAATTTAGAAATTAAGACATATAGTTAATGGAAAATAAAATACAATTGTGAACGGTTAGTATCAGTTCCTCGATTAGCCATGCTGAGAATACCCCTTTGGTCATGTTTGTAAGTGCCTTGAAATTCATCTTTGAATGGCCTATCCCAAATAGATTCACCACCAGTTCCAGTGCCAGTAGGATCACCACCTTGAAGCTGAAAAACAAAAAAAAAACAAGAAACATAAAAAAATAAAGAAATAATTTTAAAACAAAAAATATAAAATCAAAAAAAAATTTACCACAAATCCAGAAACAATTCTATGAAATATTGTATTATTATAATATCCATTTCTACAGTGAACAATGAAGTTTTCACACGCGCGTGGAGCGTGTTTACAAAATAGCTCCAAATTTAAAGGTCCAAAATTTGTTACAATACGAACATAACCATTACGAGTCACCCGAGAATATCTTTAATTTAAATGATTAAAAATAAATTAATTAAAAACTAGTATTTACTTAACATCATCTTCATCCAAAATAGCTGCTTTATTATTTGTTACAGGCTCCATTGTCGTTGAAGTCAATCCAGCAGCTACTTTTCCTTGCGAAAAATGTGCAGCATTTATAGAATCAGCAATTAATTCTTTTGGTTTTTCTTCAGTCTATTTTTGAATTTTTAAGGAAATTAAGGAGAAAGAAAAAAACCTTTTGAACATATTGTTTTTCCAATTGCGAAAGTGCTTCTTTCGCTTCATTATTTAAAGAATTTAAAAAATATTTTGGACTTTGCATAGCTAATTTTTCTTCTAAAAGGGTTTCCTTTGTTTTTGTGTCAAACTGAACATGATAAAAATGTTCGATATTAAATTTATCCAAATTTTGGGGGTCTTGAAGGATTATAATATCCTAAAAAATATAAAAATTTTAAATTAAAAAATAAATTTAAAAAACTTTTCGTTGAAATGTCTTATCAGTTAATAAATCTTTTAAATGATTCCTTTTCAAATTAAGCTCATCAATTGCTTCCATAGAGTAAACATTTCCTGTTGTGCGAATTGCGGCAATAATACTTGTTTGAGTAAAGATTTTATAGGTAACTGGACAACGAAAACTTCCTCAAAAAAGACAAATAAAAATTTAAAATTAAGATATACTTACCATCCTTGTCTTTAGCAAAAGTGAGTACAGTCAAGTCCTTATTTGACAATTTTTTGCCAGAAACAGGACATAATCCATGTTTTTTAATATAAGGAGTAATATGACTAAAAAGATTTAAATAAATTAATCAAAATAAAAATTTAAAAAAACCTTAAATCGTAAATAATTCCATCAGGAGTGCAGACAGGGTCTTCAAAAGGAAGAAAAGAAAGAGCACAATGGGTGAAAGGAAGACGTTTAAATTGTGCTCTTTGAATCTTTGTAGCAGTATCTTAAATTAATTTTTGATAAAAAATTCTAAATTTTATTTTTACCATCTTTGTGACCCCCATATACATCTCTCCATTCTTTTGTTGTCAAATACCTTTAAAAAATAAAATAAAAAATATTTAAATTAAAAATTTACAATTTATCACTTTGATGCTGTTTTTTGCCCATTGATAATTAAATCTAATAAATAGAGTAAAAAGATTAAAATCAAACGTAAAAAATTTCTGTAAAAAATTTTTAGTGGACTAAATAATATTAGGTTAATCGTAATTTAATTAAGTTTAAGTGTTAATATGGTAACTAAAAGATTAAATGTCGTTTTGGTAAAAATATTAAATATCTAATTTGCATATTGTCATTACAATATTTCGCCAAGGAACTATTTTCACAAAGGACATATAATCTAAAAGAACAACTATTGCCATTAGAACATACTGAGTCTCTCATAAAAAATTTGATATGTAAGATTAAACTAATTTATTTATTTATATGTATTTAAATCAAAAAATATTTAATAAAATTTGACACGTTTTTTTAATTTTAATTTTTCATCATATTTTATGTACGCATTAAATTGTGAGGATATTCGCCTTTTGTTTTTGGAGACCATAATAGATTAGATCGGTGTGGAATTGGGTGATGAGGTCCTAAAAATAAATTAATTAAAATCAAAATTAATTATTTAAACTAACCAGGTGTCGGTACATGGCCTGCACAATATACCTTTGAAATGGGCAAAATTAAATTTATTTGAGTTAAAATAATGCTTAATGTACAACTTAAGTGAGACTTAAGGCTTTTTCTAACCAATATTCTCTCCTCACTCTAAAATAAGGTAGCAACCCGTTCCCCGAAACCCCGACGATTTTTTTATAAAAACGCTGACCTGAAGCTTCTATTCCGATAAACCCCGATCCCCGACACGTCCGACCCTGAAGGCTCGGAGTGCTACCCTACTCTCAAAAGTTAATTGCCAATTAGCTAGTAACATCTCTTTCGCGCCATCCCCTTTGGTTTTTATTTTTGTCACTTACTTTCGAGTTTTAAATTTAAATTAAATACCTCTAAATCTTGTGTATCATTTCTATTATTATAATAAGTGTTGAGAGAAAGGCGGCTAAAATACTTTTAATTTAAAATTAATTTTAATAAAATTTAAAAACCTTCCACAAATCCAACATTTAAAACATCCTTAAAAAGTTTGGGAATTTTTAAAAATTATTTTAATTTAAAAACCTTTATGGAAAAGTGTTCCATCTTTTAATGGGCCTATTTTATCGTTGAAATAAGTTGGCCGTTTACAACGAAAACATGGCTCCTTCATAAGGGTTTTTATGAAAAAAGTTTTTGAATGGAGATTATAAAAAGATAAAAATAATAATTATTATTTTAAATATTAACTAAAAATAAAAAAATATTTTCCTTTTTGTTAATATGTAATAAAAATGAAATTGAAAATAAAAATATAATGTAATAGACGAGAATTATGTAATTATTTAGATTTATTTGGATATATTTATTTAACAAAGTAATAAAATTCTAAATTCTTTTTTAAAATTTACTTTAGAATATTTCAATAGATTTTTAATAATTTAAATTTATTAAAATTATTTATTTTTTTAATTAAAAAAGGTAATTTTAAAATTATCTTTACAAAAAACTATGACTAAATAAATTAGAAATTAATTTTGTTTAAAATTTTATTTTAAAATTTCGATATCGCCAAATTAGAATATTAAAAAGGATTATAATCTAAATAAATATATTCATTAATTATAAACATTCGTAATATAACAAAAGAAAAGAACATTAAAGGCGTTTATTTCGAACACTTTTAAAATAAATATAGACATAAATATAATGTCGCGCACTTTCACTTTTTGTATTTTCTTTCTTTTACAAAAGACAAATTTTTACGTATGGGGGCGTTTTCCAAGAATTTTTGTTTGTCTTTTTTCTTTCTTTTTTTCAGTTTTTCTACCTTCTCAATATCTTTTCTAAAATATTTTTTTTATCTTCTTACCTTCGGTAATGACTGCGTGTTCTCGTTACTTTCTCTTTTTTTTGTGATTTTTTCTTTCAAGAAAACGTTGGCAGTTGGGATTAATCGAAAAAGTAAAAAAAGCTAAATAAACAAAGAAAATAAAAATGAAAAAAAAATAAATCGACTAAAAATTTTAAATGAGAAGGCAATTGGGTACAATAATAAAGATTGTGGGTAGTATTTTTTGTTAAAGTTCGACATAAAAATTAAGTGTATAATTTTCTATTGATAAAATTTTACATCCACCAAAATTTACACATCTACCAAAATCCCGCCTCGAAAAGTTGCGTTTATTCTTTATTTCATTTCATGGAGGTTTTTGTTCTCCATAATGAGGTGAAAGGTGAGGTGCTTTGTTTTGATGGTGGGGTTGTGTTTCGTATTTACGTAGAAAAGGCTTTAGTTGGTTCACTTCCTAAGCATTTTCTACTCAAGCTTTTGGGCGAGTTCATGGGTGCGAGGAGGACAGGAGCAGTACTTATAAATCATTATAATATATTAAAGTGCTTTGTTGCTTCTTGTTTTCCAGGCTGTCTACATATATGTTCCAAGAGCACCAACAGCCCCAGAAGGGCTATCTTTCCAAGTAAACAACTTAAAGGTAAAAATAAATATTCAAAACAAAGTCTCATTCGAGTACCATCCATTACACGTTGCCCATCTGTTCCTGAATCAGTCCTTCTAGATATGATTAAAGGTGTATGACTTGGATAATACTAAACAAGATTGATAAGATTCGATTTAAATAAACTTATGGAGGATTTACAAACTCTATCTTATCCTAATTATTTTAATAGGTAAATAACTCTTTTTCAATTTTTTTGTATAAACATTAAATAATTTTTTTAATTTTTAATTTAAAAAATTTTAAATTGGCTATTAAAAAATATATAGGTATGTAATATATAATTATTAAGAATTTTTCTTCGAATTTAAGAATAATAATTTAGAAAAAAATAAATTTTTACTTGTATGTAATATTTACACTTTTTCTTTTTTTTAAATTTTATTTAAATATTATTAATGGTATTTATTAAATTTAATTAAAATAAATTTATAAATTAAAGTAAGTAAATGCCAAAAAGTTTATGCAAAAATATTTTGTTAAAACAAATTTATTTATTAAACAAGATTTATCATTATTCATTTACTTACTGACTTTATATTTATTTTTATTGTTTTGGTTGAATTTTACGCCTATATGGCAGATAAATTAAATTAAATTAAAATTTTGATTAAATAAAAATATTTTTTTGAATAAACTAATTTTTTCTTAAAAATAATGTGGGTGGTTCTGAAAAATACCTAAATATTATTTTTAAGTCCATTTTTAGACAATAATAGCACAAAAAATTTTTTTGTTTACATTTTCTTCATTTCCTCCTTCAAATACTTTTTAAATTTAATAATAAAAAAGTTTAAGTTTATTTTTTGTTTTTTTAAAAGTTTATTTTCTAAAAGTTCTTCTTTACTTTTAAATTAAAATATATATATTTACTTCTCCAAAAATAGTTTTTGTGGGTATATAATTAAAAGGGGGGGGAGCTAGTAATTTCCTAAAAAAACTCTTTTTTTCTTTTTTTCAACCAGATGAGTGTCTCTTTTTTTTTTTAAATTAAATTTAGATTTGCAAAAAATATAAACTGACGTTGATATTTTTTGTATCTATTTTTGAACATATAAAAATGTTCAAATAAATTATAAAAAGAATTCAAAAAATTTTTTATTGCCAAATTCTTCCGGAAAATTTTTTTTCTATTTTTTAGTAGTTAAAAAATAAAATAGATTAATTTAGTGTCCAAAAAAAGTTTATATTCAGTTTTGGACAAAAATCTGTTACCCCCTAGCCCGACAGAAGAAAATTAAGTCTGCTATGTATTCTGAAAAACTTTATTTTAATATTTATTTAAAAATATTTTGTTCTTTTTTTATTTATTTAAAATTATTTTCTTATTAAAATAACGTCAATTTTCTTTTATTCTTTTAAAAGGAACTTTTAAGCTTTGAACTTAAAAAAGGAGAATTGACACTTATTAAAAAAAAGTAAAACAATTTTATTCAAAATCCTCCTCTAAAGGAAATAAAAAATAATTTCTAAGAAACAAATATTTGCAAAATTTAATTTAATTCATACTTCTTTTTTATATATATTTGTAGCATTTTTTAAATATTAAAAAGTTTTTAAAATTTAAATTCAAAATAAGAAAATAGCTGGGAGGGGCTCTACAGCTAACGAAATATTTTTTTGTGAAAAATAAAATTTGGCTAGTTTATAGTAAATTTCAAGAGATATCGGATAGGCTCAGAATAAAAATTTTAAAAATCCATAATGGCCGAAAATATTTTTTGAAGTTGACAACCCCTTGTGTTACGTTTATTTTCGTTGACCTCTCATTAAGTTAAAGAGATTGAGTTAACCAAAATTGTTTAGGTCCAGAAATTTTCCAGCTAGTTATGGCTGCGCGCCTACTTGGGCGTGTCCCCTTTTTAGGTACCCATTTTATTTTTCAAATTTCCAAAATGCCATTGTAATACAGTTTTTACAATAAATAAATAAATTATTTATTTATTAATTTTTCTAAAAATATATTCTTAGAATTATTGCTTGAATTGTTCGAAAAATATTAATTGAAAAAATGATGCTTTTAGGAAAAAACAGTTATTTTATATAGAAAATTGTCTTTTAAAAATAGAAAAAAATTAAAAAAAGGAGGCGGAAATTTATATTAATTTTTTTATTCTTTTATTGTAAAATACTAAATTAAATTATAATATGCATTCTTTTACTAAATTAATTAAAATATAGTAAAAATAATTTTTTAATAAATTATTTAGACAATTTATTTAAAAGTTTTTTTAGAAAATGAAATTATTTAATAATAATTTTCTCTTGTTTTTGTTTATTTCTTCAATTATTTTTCTTCAAATTTTGGCACGGCCATCATTTAAATTAAAAAGGGTAAATAAATTAAAAATTAAATTAAATTTTTGACAAAAAGTTGTTTATCACAGCTATATTTTACAAAGAAAATAATTCAAAATTTTTAGAAAAATACATTCCCTATTTTAATTTATTTTTAAATTTTATAAAAAAATATAGGCACTCTTGCCGTTTAGGAGGCCCGCAATCCGCTGTCCATTATTCTTTGCATCAAATTTCAATTGCCCCACGTTATATTTGCGAAAAATAATTGTTAGTAAAAAGAAAAAATAATTAGTCTCATAATAGTTAGAGGACAGCGGCCCCTTAAACGGCAAGAGTGCCAAAATACTTATATTTTTTAAATTTTATTTAATTTTTTCAGAGTTCATTAGGAGGTGTCGATCTTCGATTGCCATATCGTTTTATTCCAAATACTTTACTAATAGAAAACAATAGATTTCGTCGTTCACAGCCATTATTACCGCCATTAATTGCTGACCAATCAACAGTAATTAATGATGATTTTTCTTTAGAACCTTTTATTGTTTCGACTTGGGAAGATGGAAAAAGATGAAAAAAATTGAAAGAAAAAATTGAAGTTATTTTTTATTTTTGTAAATTTAAGATGGAAATTGTGAATAAATTTTAAATAAAATTTTGGTTTTTAAATCTAGTGAAACAAAAATATTTAATAAACATGCTTACATAAAAGTCACTTCTTGCGTATGAGAAAAATTGCGCGAGACTAACAAGCCTTCTTTTTTCTGCTGCAAGACGCGTGTGATGTTTAGAAAAGGAATATTTAAATAAATTATTTTTCTAAATTTCTAATTTTTTAATTTATAAAAGTTGTATTTTAAATAAAATTTTAATTAAAAATGTAAACATATTTATAGGAAAAATTAAAAAAAAATAGATAAAAAATAATGTAAAAGAAGGCAATATTAAAAATGTTTATTTGAGCCAAATTTAAAATTTTAAAACAAAAATTTAAATTTAAAATAAAATTGTTTAAAATTTAAAAAATTAATATACATGTATATTTATAAAAATTTAATAATTATTATTGCAAAATTAATGGGAAAACAAATAAAAATGAAGGCACCGAATATATTGGCATTTAATTGTATTTACACATTTATTTATTTTTAATTAAAATTAAAATCGTCTAACAATCCTTACAATAGCTTTCCGTTCTGGATTAGTATCTAAATCTACAGCAAATTTGAATTGAGTTCGGAGAGTTTCCCAGTCTGGTGGAGACTCCAATGGAGGGGGAGAACATGTTGGTAGAGGTGGAGGTTCTGGGGACTTTAAATAAAAAAATAAATTATTAAGTAAATATAGGTAATTTGATTAATTATGCTAGTTAATTTTCAAAAAAAATACAAATTTATTTAAAAAAACTTTAATATACATAGCAGGGATTTCGCTAATTTTGTGAAAAGGGATTCTCGTCCCAAAAAACATTCGGGAACCCGTCTTTCGGGAATCAGGCCGACGAGATCCCTGATACATATGAATTCAGGATATTTTTAAAATTTAAAGTAAAAATAAAAAAGAAGATTTTAATCAAAATTTAATCAGATTAAATAAAAATTACTTTTTGCCCAAAAAGTTTATTGAATTTTTGTTGTTTTCTTTCAATCGTTGAAGTTTTCCAAAAATTATAAACACCTCCATTTTTTTCTTCCTCTTCCCTTTCTTCATTAAAATTAATTTGTTTTTGTTGTTCTTCTTCTTTTAAATTTTTTTGTTTAAAAGAATTTAGAGAAGAAGATGATGAAGGAAATGAATTGTTAATCATTGTTTTTTGATTATTATTATCTTGTTTTCCATTTATTTCTATTATTGTAGTAGATTTATTTAATTGGGAATTAATTAAATTGTTATTTGTTGTTGATTTTGTTATTAAATTATTATTTTCGTTTGGTGTAAAACGATCTCTTAAAAATTAAAAAAAATTTTTTTTAATTAATAAAAAGTATTTAAATGGTATAACGAGACATTTAAAATATTTTTGAAAATAATTTTGTATTTGGAGCCAGAATAAAAATTATTTTTTAAATTGTCCCATAACATAATGAAAATCTAAACGTCCACTAAACTAATTCCAATAAATTACCTAATTTTTTGAAAATATTTATTATGTTCATCATTATTAATATTTCCTCGAGGAGTATATGTTCTAACAAGTGTTGCAGAGACTGGCACAATTGTTGGAAATTCTGGTAGAGGGTTGTGGGGGTTGCGGGGATGGTGAATTGTTTGTCTGTTTTTTGAAAGAAAAGCAAAGTTTTTTTGTTGTCCATTTTGAAATGGATGGGAAGATGTGCTGAAAAAGGAGGGGAGGGGGATATTAAATTAATTAATTAAAATATATTTTGTTACCTTTTCTCTAATAAAAAACAACTTTTCCTCAAAATTAAAAAAATCTTGAGAAAAGAGAAAAAGGAATATCAATTTGTTTTTTAGAAAATTCTGAAATTTTTGTAATTATTTTTATTTTCATTCAGGAATAATTAATTAAAAAATTTAATTATGTATTTATTTGAATATATATTTATTATTTAAAGGTATATTTAAATTGAGATTAATTAATTAATTAATTAGAATTTAAAACTCCCTAAAAAATATATTCTGAACTTAATTTAAAGAAATTTAAATTCTAATTAAAACACTTTGACAAATATTCTTAAAAAGGTTTGTAATAAAAAATATTTTTGGCTTTTTTAAAATAAAAAACACAGCAAACACACAGAGGAAGTTATTAGAGAGATTAATCTCTCTTTTTTCTAAAACTAAATTTTGTTAAAAATGTCTAAACAAATCTAATAAAAATAAAATTTTCTAGCCATCTACTAATACTTTTAAATATATATTTTGGTTAAAAATGGATTTAAGTAGTAATTATTTAATTAATTAAACTATAAATTACTTTAAAAAAGAAGGAAATTAATTTAAAAATCCATTTATTTTAACCAAAATATATTTTTTAAAAAAACATACATTTATTTATTTATTTATTTATTTATTTATTTTCGTTTATTTTTTCAAAATTAATTTCCATTTACATAGAATTATTATTCTCTTCCTCTGTATATTTTGGGAACACACAGAAACATCCTTTCTTTTCTTTACCTGTTAGACCTTTGTAATGTTTGGCATTGAATAAATGCAGGTTTATTTATTTTAGGTTTCTGGGTTTCTTGTTGTTTTTGCCATTTGTCTGCTAAACTCGAAGTTTTGTTTAAACAAACTTTGGAAATATTATTTTCGTTTGTTTTTGTTTGTTGTTGTTGAACTTGTTTTTTTAAATTTTGTGGGGTAATTTTTTGAGGTTGTTTAGTTTGTTGTTGAGAGGAAGGAGGAGGAGGTTGAGGGGGGTGGCCATTTGTTGTTTTGGATATTCCATTAGAAATTGAATTATTAATATTTTTTGTTGTTGTTGTTGTTGAGCTAAAAATTAATTAATGGATTTTTAAAAATAATTAAAATTAAATTAATATTTAAAAGTTTAATAATCTTTTTCCTTAAATATTTAAGTCAAATTTAGTTAATAGAATGGAAATTTAAAAATGTAAGTGTTTAACTCTTGATTTTTTTTGGCAAAATAAATTTTTTGATCTCCTTATTCAAATTTATTTTAATTTACAGAGTTTCGATTTAATATCAAATCCCTAATAAAAAAATTGAGAGGTGTATATATTTATGTAATCGGCAAAAAATGCTGGAGATAAGACTGAGCCGAGATCTCATTCAAAAATCTCATTTATTAAATTTACCAAGAACATACCCATTAATAGTTTTTGTACCCTCAATTTTTCCATTTTCCTGCTTTTGTTCCCATTTTGCCCCAACTCCATTCTTTGATATTCTAGGTAATGTACAATATGCCGAAGAAGGGCTACTGGAAGCCTGTAATTGCTTAAAAGCAGCAATTTTTGATTGAGCACCTCCAGTACCGGAAAGGGCAGCAACTTCTTTTTGTCGTTCTTCTATTTGCTTTAAAAAACAATTTTTTTTAAAAATATTTTCAAAAAACTTTTTTATCATCAAATTGGTAGTCACTATTTTGCCTTCCATGTGTAATTGCTTCTTCTCTTTTTTCTGCTTCTGTTTTAACTTCTGCCCATTTCCACTGTTTTTTAGGCTGTTGTTGAAGGGGGGAAGGTGAACGTGAATTTTGTTGATTTTGTCCATTAATATTTGGTTGTAAATATTGGGAAGGAGAAGAGGAATTGCTACTTATTGTTGTTGGAGTTAGGGAAGGACTTGGACTTTTACTTTAAAGAAAATGAATAAATATTTCCTTAGGTAAAGGGTCCAACTCGAGGCCCACATGTCAGCAAAGGCATTCTGCAATAATGCATATTTTTCTGTGTTCAACTCCTTTCCCTCACTCCATTCTCAAATGGAATATGTGGGCCTCAAACTGGGCATTTCCCATTTCTTTATTAATTAAATACCCTTGACTATCAAGAGAATCATTAGGTGTTGTAGCTCTCAATAATTGTTGACGTTCATTTTCATCCAATTCAATTTTTGGCGCTCCTTTATCAACAGTATCTACATGTCTAAAAAATAAAAAAATATTATTTTTAAAATTATTCTTTAAAATTACCTTAAAGCTACTCCAAGACGAATCTCTGCTAACATCTTTTTTCGGTTATCTTCTCCTTTATTTGGAGATGGAGTAGGGATTGAAGGGGAATTGCTTTTTACTAAAACAAATAAACTAGTAAATTGTAATTATTTTTTTAAAAACAAACAAGAATTATTGTTGACTGGAGGTATTTTAGGCATATTAACAGGTGGAGGTGGTGGGGGAGGGGGAAGAAGACATGTATTATTATCATTATTTTCTTCATTATTTATTTGAGAATTATTCGAAGAAGAAGGCCCTCTAATAACATTACTAAAAGAAGGCATATTCTCCCCATCAGCTTTGAAGAAAGGTTTTGATTTGTCGATTGTTTTTGTTGGTTTTAATTTGATACCTTTTCTGATATCCTTTAAAAGAAAATTAAAAAGAAAATTTAAAAAAGGATTTATTTTTAAATTTTTTATTAAAAGAATACCGCTAAAATTGGATGGCCAACAAATGCCATTTTTGGTCATTCAAATTAAAACAATTATTTTATGTTATATTTTTTAAATTAATTATAATTTAATCGAATAATTCTAAAAATATTTTTAATTAATTTTTGAAAAAAGGTAATGATTCATTTAGTTAAAAAATATGTGTATAAATTAATTAAAATAAAGTTAATTTTCAATTAAAAACAAAAAAAGTAATATTTAATGAACATCTATTTTCATAGATTTTTAGGTAAAAATAAATATATTTATTTTTATTTTTTCAATAAATTACTTAAAAATATTTAAATAAAAAATAAATATGTATTTACGTAATTTATTTTTAAAGAGAATTTTGTTGAATTTATTTAAAAATTAATTTAAAAAAGAGAGAAAAGGTGTTGATTGAATCAGCAAAAATATACGAAAACAAACACACAAACTAATTATCTAGTAAGTATTTTTTTAATTTGCAAAAAAGGAAAGGAAATTAAAAATAAATTTTTAATTAAAAATAAAAGAAAAAAAAAACAAATTGAATATACAAAACTTTTTTCAAAAACAAATATACAGACCTCCCCAAAACTTTATTAAAATAAATTTATTTCCTTGACACAATTTAATAAATAATTTTTAAATTGAAGCAAAAATTATCTCGAAAATAATTTTAGAAAATAAAAAATATATTTAACAATTTAAATTAAAAAAATTTCTCTAATTAACGTCATCAAAAACTACATAAAATTATTTTATAACTTCTCACTTCTTTTTTTCAAAAAAAATCCCACGTTTAAATTCTTTAAAATTTTATTTGTTATTTTTGTTTAAAAAATAAATATATTAATTTCTTTTATTTAAAAAAAATGAAAAAAATTTTATGTTAAAATAAATAAATAATATTAATTTTTAAATTAAAAAAAAGGAAGAAGAAATGACGAGGGAAGAAAATTGAAATTTTGCTGATAAAATGATAAAAAAATTAATAAATTTAGTTTATTAAAATTTTTAAATATTTATTTCAATTTATTAAAAGTATTTATTTTTTAAATTATTAAATGATTACAATTTTGAAATTTTGCAGTAGAAAAAAGTTTATTATTTATTTATCAGGAGTGTGCCAGTTTCGCGTTTCGCGGATTTTCCCTGGTTTTTTATATTTTAATTAAAGTTTATTATATTAAATTTTAAGTATTTTTGGGAAGAAATATTTAAATTTTCTTTAATTAAATTAAAAGGATTGAGAGAATTTAAAATTAAAAATTATCGGAATTTTTTAGAATAAAAATATTTTGAATAAAGCAGTTTAAATAAAAAATTAAGATTTTTATTTTAAATATTTTTATTGATTAAATATTTTGGCCGTTTATTCAATTTCATGTAAAAAATTTTTTTTATGTTTTGTGAGAAGGAAAAGCAAAGTAGAAAAATGAAAGAATCAAGAATAGAAGGAGGAGGAATGAGCGCGCGCCAAAATTTGCATTCTTTTACTTAAAAGAGAGAGGGGAAATACAAAACAATTTTTGGTTTTAAATAATTTTGTGGAATTTAAAAAAGAATTTCTTTTTAAGGATTTTTGCGAAATTTTTTTTTTATTTTTAAACTTCTCTCAGACATTAAAAACATCGATCGGGGGTTGAGAATGTTGATGCTTTTAAGTGTTTCTTTTAATGTTTTTGTGTGTGTGATTGGGGGGTTGAGGGGAGGGGGGGGGATGGTGGTGGTCAGTCA